TTTTGCCAATAGTTCTGGCAAACTCTTTGGTGGTCGCTTCATTACTGAAAAAAGAAATCTGGATGAGTGGAGGCCTCCCAAAAAGGTGGTCATGGTGACTTTGTCATTGGGCTCCTCGATTTGAAGGACCTCCTCGTTAAAATGAGTGAGGTAACTCCTCAAAATCTCGTCTCGATCCTGTTTTATGTTGAGCAGATGGGTGGTAGGTTTTTGTTGGCGGCGTCCACCAATGAACTGTGTCACAAATGATCTACTTAATTTGGCAAAGGAGCCTATGGAGACCGGGGTGAGTTTGGCGAACCATTGTCGCGCTGATCCCTTCAAGGTAGTTGGGAATGCCCTACACATACTTTCGTCGCGGACGTTGTGCAGTTGTGTTAAGGACTTGTAGGTTTCGAGATGATCAAGTGGATCCTTCGTCCTGTCAAAGGTCTCCACGGATGGCATTTTGAACTTTTGAGGGAGGGGGTAGTTTGCCACGTCAGGTTTGAAAGGCGTGTCTGTCTACCTTACGAGGTAGTCCATTGTCTCGGGTCCCTGCGCCTTCATAACGTTGAAGACGTCACCCAGTTAATTTTGTACTTCCTTAATTTTCTCGTTCCAGTGATTGGGGGCTCCTCTGAAATGTTCATGGAAATGACTCTCATGCTCCATGCTTTGGTTTTTGCCCTCATCTTCTTGGAGATAAGGGTTTTCACCATGGGAAGTAGGAGTAGGTGGAGGTCCCTCATGAGGGGCTCCTCTGTGTGGGACGCCCAAGGGGACTCCAAAAGGGGCGCCCAGACCTACATGGGCGCCCAAATGGGGAGCAGCAAGTTGTGGAGCTCCTTGATGTCTAGGGCGTGCAGCTCCTTGATGTCCAAGGCGTGGATCTTGATGTCCAGGGCATAGAACTCCTTGAGGTCCAGGGCGTGGAGCTCCTTGCGGTCCAAGGCGTGGAGCTCCTTGGGGTTCTCCACGCTGTGCACCTCCAAGTTGTGCTCCTCCTTGTCCAGCAAGCATGAGTTGCAACATCTGTTGGTTTTGGGCTATTAGCTGCCGCATGATCTCCAGCATTTGTTGTGGATTTGGAGTTGAAACATTTGGGACAGAGTTGGTAGGTGGAGGATTGTCTTCAGGTTGGTTCATAGATCTAGTAGTGATCGCCATTGATTTAGCANGAGAGCTACACCTTTTGAGACCTAGCTTTTGGTGACCCATGAGAGGGTCTTTATGCTTGAGGTATAGGTTGTTTGTTTGAGAACAGCGCAAAGGCTAAGCTTTTGGTGACTCGTGAAAGAGCCGCTCAGCTGGAGATATAGGGTGTCTGTTTAAGAACAGTACATATGCCAAGCTTTTGGCGACCCGCGAGAGAGTCGCTAAGCTGGATATTGAGACTGTCTGTTTAAGAACAGTGCAGAGACAGGCTAAACTTTTGGCGACCCATGAGAGAGTTGCTAAGCTGGATACTGAGGCTGCCTGTTTGAGAACAGTGCAGAGGCAAGTCAAGCTTTTGGAGATCCGCGAGATGATTCACCTCACCTGGACCTGTTTATTTCCTCAGCATTCATATATTTTTGAGCTTTTGCCAATAGTTCTGGCAAACTCTTTGGTGGTCGCTTCATTACTGAAAAAAGAAATCTGGATGAGTGGAGGCCTCCCAAAAAGGTGGTCATGGTGACTTTGTCATTGGGCTGCTCGATTTGAAGGACCTCCTCGTTAAAATGAGTGAGGTAACTCCTCAAAATCTCGTCTCGATCCTGTTTTATGTTGAGCAGATGGGTGGTAGGTTTTTGTTGGCGGCGTCCACCAATGAACTGTGTCACAAATGATCTACTTAATTTGGCAAAGGAGCCTATGGAGACCGGGGTGAGTTTGGCGAACCATTGTCGCGCTGATCCCTTCAAGGTAGTTGGGAATGCCCTACACATACTTTCGTCGCGGACGTTGTGCAGTTGTGTTAAGGACTTGTAGGTTTCGAGATGATCAAGTGGATCCTTCGTCCTGTCAAAGGTCTCCACGGATGGCATTTTGAACTTTTGAGGGAGGGGGTAGTTCGCCACGTCAGGTTTGAAAGGCGTGTCTGTCTACCTTACGAGGTAGTCCATTGTCTCGGGTCCCTGCGCCTTCATAACGTTGAAGACGTCACCCAGTTGATTTTGTACTTCCTTAATTTTCTCGTTCCAGTGATTGGGGGCTCCTCTGAAATGTTCATGGAAATGACTCTCATGCTCCATGCTTTGGTTTTTGCCCTCATTTTCTTGGAGATAAGGGTTTTCACCATGGGAAGTAGGAGTAGGTGGAGGTCCCTCATGAGGGGCTCCTCTGTGTGGGACGCCCAAGGGGACTCCAAAAGGGGCGCCCAGACCTGCATGGGCGCCCAAATGGGGAGCAGCAAGTTGTGGAGCTCCTTGATGTCTAGGGCGTGCAGCTCCTTGATGTCCAAGGCGTGGATCTTGATGTCCAGGGCATAGAACTCCTTGAGGTCCAGGGCGTGGAGCTCCTTGCGGTCCAAGGCGTGGAGCTCCTTGGGGTTCTCCACGCTGTGCACCTCCAAGTTGTGCTCCTCCTTGTCCAGCAAGCATGAGTTGCAACATCTGTTGGTTTTGGGCTATTAGCTGCCGCATGATCTCCAGCATTTGTTGTGGATTTGGAGTTGAAACATTTGGGACAGAGTTGGTAGGTGGAGGATTGTCTTCAGGTTGGTTCATAGATCTAGTAGTGATCGCCATTGATTTAGCAAATGGAATGTTTAGGAGTGAGAATTTTGTCGTTTTTCACAGACGGCGCCAAACTAATGATGCACAAAATGATTTTTGCACACCACCTGTTAAGTGTGAATAATAAATGCAAAAAAATAATATTAGGAGATGGAGAGACACAGACAATTTATAGTGGTTCGGTTAGCTCGATCTACATCCACTCTTCAACGGATTTGATNGCACAAAATGATTTTTGCACACCACCTGTTAAGTGTGAATAATAAATGCAAAAAAATAATATTAGGAGATGGAGAGACACAGACAATTTATAGTGGTTCGGTTAGCTCGATCTACATCCACTCTTCAACGGCTTTGATTGCCGGGTATTTTATTAACTCAAGGGTGTGGGGAACAGAGAGTACAAGTTTTGAGGGAGAGGAGAGAGTTGTGCTCAGGTAAAGTGTGATCTGTCCCCCAAGTNATTAACTCAAGGGTGTGGGGAGCAGAGAGTACAAGTTTTGAGGGAGAGGAGAGAGTTGTGCTCAGGTAAAGTGTGATCTGTCCCCCAAATATTGGTGGGGCTTACAATTGATAGTCGCCCTCCTAACAGATTTGAGCAATATATTAGTAAGTAGTTGACTAGTTTGTTGAATCTGGCGAATNCCATTGTCGCGCTGATCCCTTCAAGGTAGTTGGGAATGCCCTACACATACTTTCGTCGCGGACGTTGTGCAGTTGTGTTAAGGACTTGTAGGTTTCGAGATGATCAAGTGGATCCTTCGTCCTGTCAAAGGTCTCCACGGATGGCNAATTATTCTCAACGTGCTAGGCAGTTGCGGTGCTCTCCATGAGATTCGGTCAAAGGATGAAGTGGGGTGTTGACCATCTCCAGGACAGCGAGGATAGGACTTTGGATGACTTGCTTGCTCCCTTAGCTCCTTAAGCTGTTAAGCTTGATCGGACTGACCATACTGATGAGCTTGAACGGGTTGAGCTAATGAGCTCGACCGGGTTGGCCATATTGGGCTGAATTTGCTAGATCTCTTTGAGTCGGACTATAACCTTGAACTGAACTTATAATATGAGTTGGACCTTTGGGCTTGACCCATGAGATACTTTTCACCTTCTAGAGAATCGAGACAAGGGTTTCAAACCTTGCCTACTGATTTTAGCAAAGAAGTGTCACGACCCATGGGAGTTGTTAACATCGAAAACGACAACACCTCACCGTGGTTCGAGATCGTGCCTTCAATGATGGATAGAGATAATCCATGCAGGCTAAACTCCTTTAATACCCATTGCATTAGCTGTTTTATTAACGTTACTTCAACTAAATTTATTCATCGAATTTGTTGATCAAATCGATTGCTATTATGGTTAACGATATATCCAAAAATTGTGATACATGCAAGCATCATTCTAGTGCACANTTATGTTGAGCAGATGGGTGGTAGGTTTTTGTTGGCGGCGTCCACCAATGAACTGTGTCACAAATGATCTACTTAATTTGGCAAAGGAGCCTATGGAGACCGGGGTGAGTTTGGCGAACCATTGTCGCGCTGATCCCTTCAAGGTAGTTGGGAATGCCCTACACATACTTTCGTCGCGGACGTTGTGCAGTTGTGTTAAGGACTTGTAGGTTTCGAGATGATCAAGTGGATCCTTCGTCCTGTCAAAGGTCTCCACGGATGGCATTTTGAACTTTTGAGGGAGGGGGTAGTTCGCCACGTCAGGTTTGAAAGGCGTGTCTGTCTACCTTACGAGGTAGTCCATTGTCTCGGGTCCCTGCGCCTTCATAACGTTGAAGACGTCACCCAGTTGANAAAAAATGTTACACAACTTAAATGAAACTTAAAAAATTACTACTCAAATATATATTGTATCTTGGATGAGTATGCCCCCATCAACTTCTAAATAATGATATGTATTTGAGTTGTAACTTTTTTTGATTCCATTTGGGTTGTGTAGCATTACTTGAGAAAAAGATGAAGAAAATGTGTATTAAAATGGATTTCACTCCATTGAATGCTGAACTTGTCAAAAACTTCAAAGCCCATGGGTTGACCTAAATGGGCCCATGGAGGCCCATTGGTTGGCCCCGATCCAGCCCATGACGGCAACCGGGTATACTAGTGTCTCAATCCTCCCCATTAATCAAAAGCCTAAGTGGCGATTCATTTTTTTTTATGAACATATATATATTCAAATTTTGAACATAATTTACCCAATTTTAAAAATTTATATATTTCCTCTTGTATATGTTCACATGACTTCAACCAATTTTTCTTTTTTTTTTTTTTTTTTGGGGGGGGGGGGGGGGGGGGGGGGAATTTGTAACTAGTTGCAAGATACAGATGATCATTTGAGACAACTCCACTATGAAACCTTCAATAGCTCATGAAAAGCCTCTTGAGGTATATCAACAGATCCAACACGTTTCATTCGCTTCTTTCCTTCTTTCTGCTTTTCCAACAACTTCCTCTTTCGAGAAACATCACCACCATAACACTTAGCAAGGACGTTCTTTCTCATAGCTGAAATCCTGAAAATAAGAAAGGAGAGACCAAAATTGAACAGCAACAATTAGAGTGTTGTCAAGCGGTCATGCATTTCTCAAGCTCGTGTGCGGCACTTAGACACTTAGCAAGCTCCCTTCCTTCTACAAGGCGGGCTGTGACAGTATGTTCATATCAGCGATTCAACCTTGCTACGAAAGCATCTGANGCATTTCTCAAGCTCGTGTGCGGCACTTAGACACTTAGCAAGCTCCCTTCCTTCTAGAAGGCGGGCTGTGACAGTATGTTCATATCAGCGATTCAACCTTGCTACGAAAGCATCTAAAATGTGATGACATCCAAAAAATTGTTTGGGCCAAAAGAAATCAGACCCAAAAAAAAAACACTCCCTTGCTGCAATAGAACTATTTTTAGACAAGCTCCAATGTATAGAATATTTTTTCTGAAACTGCAACCCCAATCTATACTAGACACCAAAAAAAAAAAAAAAAATCTATACTAGACACCAATTTTCTGGCTAGGGTAGCGAGGAGAAAATGAATACATATTGGAACCAAAATTTGACAATACACTATGTTGAAGTCCAGCATTCAATCTCTCAGTGGCATAAATTCCATTGTTGTGTGCAAGGTAGGATGGTAAATATCAACTAGAAAGTTAATCGATAGTCTTTTACACATACACTACTCACTAGTACCACAAACTAAGAAAATAACTTGAAATAAAACAACCAAACCCTAAGGTAGGGAAATAGAACACCAAGAACTATATTAATGACCTTTTCAAGGCTATTCTACCAGAGAAAAAGGTAAATAACTTACGTCTCCCTTGCAATGATCTTTGATCCAATGGCAGCTTGTACGGTTATCTCAAACATTTGCCTGCATAATATCATAAATTCATAATATTTAAGGAGCCTTGAGGCAAAAGTAACAATAGGGACCAATTTTGAATCAGCAGCAGACCTGTCTATGAATTTCTTCAGCTTCTCCACAAGTTCACGACCAACACGTTGCGCCTTCAATTTATGGATAATAGTTGCCATTGCATCAACTGGTTGCCCATTCAAGAGGATATCAAGTTTCACCAAATCCGAGGCCTGATAGCTGTTAACCACAGCCATTGTGAAACAATTCAACCAACGGTCATTTTCGGAGTTTGTATGTGCATGTGTTTGCAAGAAGAGGAGAGGAGGGGGGGGGGTATATAGAGGGAAGCAGAGAGAGGAACACACAAACTTACTCCGCATCCTCATAATCGAATGAAGCATACCCTGACGTTATACTCTTCAATTCATTGTAAAAATCAACAACAATTTCCCTCAAAGGTAAACGATACTTCATAAAGGCTCGTTGACTGCATATATAAAACGCCATACAAACATATAATTATGTTTACGTCAATGTAACACTAATAGACTTAGATCAGGAAATGAAGTGCACTTGCATTAGTCAGGTATTCTATGTAGCATATAACTCATCTCACATGAAAATTTGAATGAAGACTGTAGTCTCAAGTCAAGACCCAGGTGAAACCCTTAAACAGTGGGTTCACAAGCTATGGTAATCTGATCCCTGTGTTCAGTATTTCATTCATGAACATTAAACCAGGAAAAATAACTAGCTTGCAGATTTGTCTGCATTTAAACATTTCATTATCTTGAGAAAAAATGGTACCTATCAATAAATGAGTACTCCAACTGCTCCCCTCTCCGCTCAGAGCAAAGGGTGATAACAGGCCCCACATATCTTCAAGTAGAAGAGATGAAGCGCAAATGAGTATGCTTTAAAGCTAGCCAAAAATAAGAAAAAACATTGCCTTGCATGCTACAGAATGAGTTTTGGATCATATGCAAAGGGACATCAGATCTTACTCACTAGGAATAATTATTGTAGCTGTAACAGTAGGTTCCCAACAAGCAGTTACACGTTGTTTGGGATTTGAAGGCAATGCAGCAGGATTCTGAACTTGCAGTTTGCTATAAAATAAATATTCACAGAGGAATTGGTAACACGTGAAACCTGAATTTAATTTGAAATCCACAAGCCACATACCTTCCATCTGAATACTCAAAAATATAAGGTACAGTTGGAACAGTAGAAATGACATGAGCATCATATTCCTGCAATCCATAAGACAACAAATGATAGCAATAAGCAGTGTTATTCTGAAAGTTATGACCATATAAACCAATATAAGGCAGTAACAGTAAATTAGTTTTACAATCTTTTATGTTCACCAGCTTAATGACACTTATTTTTACCATGTTTCCAATTTTAAAGGCAAAAAGCCAAATTAGGGGTAACTGGACAAGTCAATGAATTCAGAACACTTCATTTGCATGGCAAACAATACAAATTTAGTTCTTTGCGCNCCATGTTTCCAATTTTAAAGGCAAAAAGCCAAATTAGGGGTAACTGGACAAGTCAAGGAATTCAGAACACTTCATTTGCATGGCAAACAATACAAATTTAGTTCTTTGCACAAAATTTTCTCTGTTTCGTGATATGCAAAACTTGATGATATAATATTTCCGGTGGACAGAATCCTGTTTTTGTAGTTCAAAAATGATGTTCTTGCATTTCTATGTGACAAGAAGGGCCATGGATTACATACGCCCTCAGAATATTCACCATATGAAAACATAGCTTGCTCTCTAGCTATTTGAGGCCAACAACCTCCCATGTTGAAGTCCGCCAGACCACCTTTTTCTTTTTTTTTTTTCAGAATCATGCATAGAGAAACCTGTCCGGGCCTCGCCCACAATATTGATACCATGGATTAATACTACTTCTTACTCATTTGGTATGTGTAAGTGTTGCTGTTTTGTTTGGGAACGTCTAAATAGTTTCTTACGGATTACTAAGTGGATTATCAGTTATCACTGGCCGCAGTTATTGTAGTGTAAATAATGCTATGCCACATAATACAATTATCAGATCTTAATTTGTCCAAATAAGGGCATGTGAAAAACATGAATGGCACCCATCCTAAAGTTGAATCCAATAGCAGCTTTAACTTGCAAGAAGAATCATAAGAAACCTTAAGTCATCACTCACTTTTCAGTATAAGGCAAGCACATCGAGGGGAATAATACCTGTTCCAGCCGCTGATGAAACACATCCATATGAAGTAAGCCTAAGAAACCACACCTGTACAAAGAATAAAACAGTCAGAACCAAAGAAACCCATGTGAATTTGAGTTTCGAAATGATAATGGAAGTTAATCCACACCTGAAACCCATACCAAGTGCTGTGCTACTCTCTTTAGAAACAGAGACACTAGCATCATTGCATGTCAGTCTCTCTATTGCATGGTTAAGTGCTTCAAAATCAGATCCATCGGCTGGATAAAGACCGGAAAATACCATATGTTTTACAGGCTTGAAACCTAAAGGATAAATATCAAAAAGCGCACAAAAAAGAGGATGATTACATTCCAACCAATAAAATTGCATCAAACCAATAAAGCCAGAGCTTCCTACTTAAACATAATCCAACTATGTCAAGTCATGTAAAAATTTCTTTTCTGGGTATAAAGCTAAACAGCTGAAGAAATATACTTACCTGAAACAATAAAAGTTTCAAGAGTGATTCAGCCAGAGGCTGGCTAATTATGATCGGATAAAATCTTAACGAACATGTGATATGGTTCCATCAGGAAAAAACTGTTTAGTTGTCAATGGTGGAGACATATGAAAGTCTAAATTGATGAATTGACATTCACACAATATAAAAAAGATGAGTCCATGTTCTATTTTGCATATTTATCTTCCTTTCCTACCTCCATAATTTCCATGAACGACCATATTTTGAAAGTTGAAATCCTCACAAGAAGGTCCAAGTCAGGTTTAATTCTGTCTCACCAAACATACAACTCTCAAATCAGTCAATAAAATTATGTAACTATAAGGACTTAAATTGAAGCAGGTTGCCAAGATCCCAGTAATCTAATATTTCAGTTTTGGAGATACAACAATAACCACCTCAAGTAGGAAAAAAGATCATGGAAATACCTGGAAGGGGCTCCACAGTGCTTCGACTATGATACAGAGTATCTCCAACACGTGCCTCTTTGGTTGATCGCATGCCACTGACAACATATCCCACTTGTCCAGTTAAAAGGACTCCAGTAGGCATGAGCTCAGGATGCATGAAACCAACATCCAAGACATCATAAGCTTGGCCAGTTGCCGCAGACAATATTTTGTCTCCCTTATGCAGCGCACCATCAACAACTGCCACGTGGCAGATCACTCCCTTGTATTCATCATAATAAGAATCCAACAAAAGCATACGCAAAGGTGAACAGCTCTTCCCAGGAGGACGAGGAATACGCTCTATGACAGCAGGAAGGACTTGCTCCAGACCTTGACCAGTTTTGGCAGATGTTAAAAGTGCATCACTAGGGTCAAGATCAAACATAGATTTTAACTGTGCTTTAATGCGATCTGGATCAGCTGTTGGCTGGTCAATTTTGTTTATGACAGGGATTATTGACAGGTTAGATTCAAAAGCAAGATAAAAGTTTGCAACAGTTTGTGCCTGGACACCTTGGGCTGCATCAACAACTAGAAGGGCACCCTGGCAAGCAGCTAAAGATCTTGATACTTCATAGCTGAAATCCACATGACCAGGTGTGTCGATCAAGTTCAGTAAAAAACTCGTGTCTGTGCCATGGAAATTGTGGCTATGGAACATAGTTGCTGTCTGAGCTTTAACAGTTATTCCCCTTTCTCTCTCTACCTAAAACAATCCACATTGATTCATAAGCAGGGAATAATTACAAATTTATAACATACTAACCAGTATAATACAACTCTCAAGTACAGCCTTCCCAACCAATTATCTCAAGCTAAGTTAGTCAATTCTTGCCTAAGGAACTAAATCTCTGTAAGATTACAAGCAGTAAATGAAAACGTTAGGCTGAAGTATGAACTACACTAACGACGCCTACTGTCGGGAATGAGAAAATATCTTCTGTTGCCTTTCAATGATCAAAATGGATCGTTTACTAATAAAAAATTGTCAAGTCCACACTCAAACAAAATGTGCAAGGCTCTCTCTTAAATTCTATGCAAATGAGACAGCATGTGTGGAACCTCATTTACATTTTCTTTTAGTCTTGGCAAACAAATTTCTCATAATTCATCCATAGAGCACCTCGACAAGCTTTCATTTTCCCCAAATTTGGTACAATGTTACATTGTCAGTATATAAACCAAAGACACAAACTTGCCCAATAATTGTTATGAAACACAAAGGCACTACATCAACAAGAACTACACAAATCAAGAAACTACATACCTGCAATTTATCCAGGTATTGAGGCTGACCATGGCCTCTCTTGATAGTCCCAGTAAGCTCTAAAAGCCTGTCAGCAAGAGTAGACTTACCATGATCAACGTGGGCAATAATCGAAAAGTTTCGAATGTTTTCCGGCGGGTATTGGGTTAAATCTACGCTAGTAGTTTCTTTGCTATACTGCCGAGAATGAGAACAAAAAGAATGGGTACTCCAACCAAAATAGGGCAGCCTCAGTCTGCTACAAACTGGGTTGGCTCTAAATACACTAGAAAATTGGGCGACTTTAGAGGATGGGTATAGTAGAGAGACATATTTAGATGATTTGAGGGTCTTTGAAGCTCTATTGAAACAACCCATTTGGAGAACTTATCTGAAAGGTCGAATCAGTCTGATAATAGTTTGGGTTGTTGTCGCACAGCAGAGACGCATAGTTGAAGAAGTTGTGTAAGAAATGGTTTGAGAGAGAGAGAGAGGCGCAGGAAAGCTTTGTGCTATGCTGCTTATTGCTTTGTTTTTGTGTATTTTCTCAGCCACTTGTGATAACAATAGGCATGGAAGCTTTGGGCCGGTTTTCTCGCAAGTGCCCGGGGCCGGTCACAGAAAAATTGACCCAGGTGATTTTTCTTTGGCCCATTTCCCTAACCCAGGCAACTGCTTGGGCTATTAAAAATCAAATTATACTTTTACTTTAAATAGTTCTGTATGTGTTTCAATAACATGTAGATCCAAAAGTATTAATAGTTAAAACATGTGAATCCACTCAAATATAGAAAAAAAATTCAGGGATAATTCAAGTAGCAATAAAAATAAATTGTAAATACAAATGTTTTGAGTTCAAATATTGACAATCTATTGGCGTCAGTCCATGAAAAATGTATTCCTCATGAATACCTTAATTCCGTTGTAGATGACCTACTTTTGACCGGATTAGAAAAAAAATTAATCGAGATATGGTATCAAATCACTAAATTGGTTTGAACAATTCTGACTGTTGAAATAAAAAAGAAAATTAGAAAAGACTTGGCCCAAAACATGCCTAAATCTCCTCAAATGACCAAACCACATATGCCGTGAAAAATTTTCAATGTTACACTCACATATGGTGATGGGTTTTGTGTATGGGTAATTTAGTGATTTGATACCAAAGATACATCGCTTCTGTAGAATTTACCGATCCCTCAAATGGATTTTTAACGTTAATGGGTAAAGCCCATGGCCTACCCATCTGGCTGATGGGCTACTTGTGGGCTACATCTTGTTGGCTGTTCTGATAAGTGACACAGATGGCCCATTTGTCAGTTGGGCGGCCCATCACACCGTGGGCTACTCGCCGACCCTTACATTTGACATGCATAACAAGTTTACATGTCACGCAAACTCCATTGACGAAGACGACGCACAGAGACAGTGAGTTTCTGAGCGTGGAAATCACAGACGGTTGGTCATCTACGACACATTCAAATCTATCAGGAACCTCCGTTTCTGCTCATAGGTAACATCTTTCACTCTCTGTGTATGTAAATCTTGTGGATCTATGATTCTTTTTTGGGAGGGATGCATACAATTTTTTGATTTGATCCTTATTGATCGATCTATGACGGGCGCGAAGTAATGAATTGAAATTGTTTTGTGATTTGGTGACAATAGCGGTGAGGATGTCGACTCCGGCGAGGAAGAGATTGATGACGGATTTCAAGAGGTTACAGCCAGATCCTCCCGCTGGCACTAGTGGCCGCGNGGCGTGGAAGAGATTGATGACGGATTTCAAGAGGTTACAGCCAGATCCTCCCGCTGGCACTAGTGGCCGCGCCCTATAACTATGACAATAATATAATGCTTTGAAACGTAGTTATTTTCGGATATGTCACAGAATTTCGTATGTGTGTTACTGTTTGCTATGTGAGCCATTGAGGTTTCTCGAGTTCCACTGACTTTGATACTGGTTTCTTTTGCTGTCCGGATGACACTCCATGGAAGTTGGAACGGAGGTGAGGCTATTCTTGAATTCCAGTTTTCTAATTGATAGAGAATGTTTGTTGATACATTCACTCGAGTCCTTTTGTCATATGGTGATCATTATTACACAGGAGATTTTCTGCAATAAATTGTGAAAGCAATCCTTACGACATGAACCTGAAACAACACAAGGTTAGAAAAGGGCCGGGTGAACACTCGTCTTATCCCTTCCGAAACTTAAGTCAATATACACAATATTTTTTTTCTTTCCGTTTAGTCTTGCGTNAGAGAGACATATTTAGATGATTTGAGGGTCTTTGAAGCTCTATTGAAACAACCCATTTGGAGAACTTATCTGAAAGGTCGAATCAGTCTGATAATAGTTTGGGTTGTTGTCGCACAGCAGAGACGCATAGTTGAAGAAGTTGTGTAAGAAATGGTTTGAGAGAGAGAGAGAGGCGCAGGAAAGCTTTGTGCTATGCTGCTTATTGCTTTGTTTTTGTGTATTTTCTCAGCCACTTGTGATAACAATAGGCATGGAAGCTTTGGGCCGGTTTTCTCGCAAGTGCCCGGGGCCGGTCACAGAAAAATTGACCCAGGTGATTTTTCTTTGGCCCATTTCCCTAACCCAGGCAACTGCTTGGGCTATTAAAAATCAAATTATACTTTTACTTTAAATAGTTCTGTATGTGTTTCAATAACATGTAGATCCAAAAGTATTAATAGTTAAAACATGTGAATCCACTCAAATATAGAAAAAAAATTCAGGGATAATTCAAGTAGCAATAAAAATAAATTGTAAATACAAATGTTTTGAGTTCAAATATTGACAATCTATTGGCGTCAGTCCATGAAAAATGTATTCCTCATGAATACCTTAATTCCGTTGTAGATGACCTACTTTTGACCGGATTAGAAAAAAAATTAATCGAGATATGGTATCAAATCACTAAATTGGTTTGAACAATTCTGACTGTTGAAATAAAAAAGAAAATTAGAAAAGACTTGGCCCAAAACATGCCTAAATCTCCTCAAATGACCAAACCACATATGCCGTGAAAAATTTTCAATGTTACACTCACATATGGTGATGGGTTTTGTGTATGGGTAATTTAGTGATTTGATACCAAAGATACATCGCTTCTGTAGAATTTACCGATCCCTCAAATGGATTTTTAACGTTAATGGGTAAAGCCCATGGCCTACCCATCTGGCTGATGGGCTACTTGTGGGCTACATCTTGTTGGCTGTTCTGATAAGTGACACAGATGGCCCATTTGTCAGTTGGGCGGCCCATCACACCGTGGGCTACTCGCCGACCCTTACATTTGACATGCATAACAAGTTTACATGTCACGCAAACTCCATTGACGAAGACGACGCACAGAGACAGTGAGTTTCTGAGCGTGGAAATCACAGACGGTTGGTCATCTACGACACATTCAAATCTATCAGGAACCTCCGTTTCTGCTCATAGGTAACATCTTTCACTCTCTGTGTATGTAAATCTTGTGGATCTATGATTCTTTTTTGGGAGGGATGCATACAATTTTTTGATTTGATCCTTATTGATCGATCTATGACGGGCTCGAAGTAATGAATTGAATTTGTTTTGTGATTTGGTGACAATAGCGGTGAGGATGTTGACTCTGGCGTGGAAGAGATTGATGACGGATTTCAAGAGGTTACAGCCAGATCCTCCCGCTGGCACTAGTGGCCGCGCCCTATAACTATGACAATAATATAATGCTTTGAAACGTAGTTATTTTCGGATATGTCACAGAATTTCGTATGTGTGTTACTGTTTGCTATGTGAGCCATTGAGGTTTCTCGAGTTCCACTGACTTTGATACTGGTTTCTTTTGCTGTCCGGATGACACTCCATGGAAGTTGGAACGGAGGTGAGGCTATTCTTGAATTCCAGTTTTCTAATTGATAGAGAATGTTTGTTGATACATTCACTCGAGTCCTTTTGTCATATGGTGATCATTATTACACAGGAGATTTTCTGCAATAAATTGTGAAAGCAATCCTTACGACATGAACCTGAAACAACACAAGGTTAGAAAAGGGCCGGGTGAACACTCGTCTTATCCCTTCCGAAACTTAAGTCAATATACACAATATTTTTTTTCTTTCCGTTTAGTCTTGCGTACTTTGCTCATCTTTCTAAAAAATATTTATACTTGAGTTATTAATGAGTGTCAAGGCTTAAAGTCTCATCTCAACATTTAATGACTTGCACTCTTATGAGTGTTATCCACTCAGGTCTTCATGTCTAATTTACTCGGGCGATAGGGTGACTGTCTGAAACATGCTGAGCATTTATGGCCCTATCCCCGGTCATTTAAGTCCTCTCATCGAAGCTTGATACTTATTCTTAAGCGTTCAATGCTCGAGAAATAGTGCCTCGGGGTGTGTCGAGGTGATATAGTCGGCGCAATAATCATTAATGCTTCGCAATCATGACAACTGATTTGGGTCTCGAGGATACAGGAGCTCATTAATAGCTCTGTTTCAATCACATCTCCATAAATGAGTTGTCAAGTCGTCCGTAAATGTTGGTGTCAATTTGTGTACTTAGTTCCTCCGAATCATCACTCTTCGGCGTCACTACTCGGCGCTTTTCGATTTTCATAACGATTATATTCTTCAATGTATCAATCTGGGGCCACCGAACCACCTAGGGGTNGTTCTGTATGTGTTTCAATAACATGTAGATCCAAAAGTATTAATAGTTAAAACATGTGAATCCACTCAAATATAGAAAAAAATTCAGGCATAATTCAAGTAGCAATAAAAATAANAGATCCAAAAGTATTAATAGTTAAAACATGTGAATCCACTCAAATATAGAAAAAAAATTCAGGGATAATTCAAGTAGCAATAAAAATAAATTGTAAATACAAATGTTTTGAGTTCAAATATTGACAATCTATTGGCGTCAGTCCATGAAAAATGTATTCCTCATGAATACCTTAATTCCGTTGTAGATGACCTACTTTTGACCGGATTAGAAAAAAAATTAATCGAGATATGGTATCAAATCACTAAATTGGTTTGAACAATTCTGACTGTTGAAATAAAAAAGAAAATTAGAAAAGACTTGGCCCAAAACATGCCTAAATCTCCTCAAATGACCAAACCACATATGCCGTGAAAAATTTTCAATGTTACACTCACATATGGTGATGGGTTTTGTGTATGGGTAATTTAGTGATTTGATACCAAAGATACATCGCTTCTGTAGAATTTACCGATCCCTCAAATGGATTTTTAACGTTAATGGGTAAAGCCCATGGCCTACCCATCTGGCTGATGGGCTACTTGTGGGCTACATCTTGTTGGCTGTTCTGATAAGTGACACAGATGGCCCATTTGTCAGTTGGGCGGCCCATCACACCGTGGGCTACTCGCCGACCCTTACATTTGACATGCATAACAAGTTTACATGTCACGCAAACTCCATTGACGAAGACGACGCACAGAGACAGTGAGTTTCTGAGCGTGGAAATCACAGACGGTTGGTCATCTACGACACATTCAAATCTATCAGGAACCTCCGTTTCTGCTCATAGGTAACATCTTTCACTCTCTGTGTATGTAAATCTTGTGGATCTATGATTCTTTTTTGGGAGGGATGCATACAATTTTTTGATTTGATCCTTATTGATCGATCTATGACGGGCTCGAAGTAATGAATTGAATTTGTTTTGTGATTTGGTGACAATAGCGGTGAGGATGTTGACTCTGGCGTGGAAGAGATTGATGACGGATTTCAAGAGGTTACAGCCAGATCCTCCCGCTGGCACTAGTGGCCGCGCCCTATAACTATGACAATAATATAATGCTTTGAAACGTAGTTATTTTCGGATATGTCACAGAATTTCGTATGTGTGTTACTGTTTGCTATGTGAGCCATTGAGGTTTCTCGAGTTCCACTGACTTTGATACTGGTTTCTTTTGCTGTCCGGATGACACTCCATGGAAGTTGGAACGGAGGTGAGGCTATTCTTGAATTCCAGTTTTCTAATTGATAGAGAATGTTTGTTGATACATTCACTCGAGTCCTTTTGTCATATGGTGATCATTATTACACAGGAGATTTTGTGCAATAAATTGTGAAAGCAATCCTTACGACAATGAACCTGAAACAACACAAGGTTAGAAAAGGGCCGGGTGAACACTCGTCTTATTCCCTCCGAAACTTAAGTCAGTATACACAATATTTTTTTTCATTCCGTTTAGTCTTGCATACTTTGCTCATCTTTCTAAAAAATATTTATACTTGAGTTATTAATGAGTGTCAAGGCTTAAAGTCTCATCTCAACATTTAATGACTTGCACTCTTATGAGTGTTATCCACTCAGGTCTTCATGTCTAATTTACTCGGGCGATAGGGTGACTGTCCTAAACATGCTAAGCATTTATGGCCCTATCCCCGGTCATTTAAGTCCTCTCATCCAAGCTTGATACTTATTCTTAAGCGTTCAATGCTCGAAAAATAATGCCTCGGGGTGTGTCAAGGTGATATAGTCGGCGCAATAACCATTAATGCTTCGCAATCAGGACAATCGATTTGGGTCTCGAGGATACAGGAGCTCATTAATAGCTCTGTTTCAATCACATCTCCATAAATGAGCTGTCAAGTCGTCCGTAAATGCTGGTGTCAATTTGTATTCTTAGCTCCTCCGAATCATCACTCTTCGGCGTCACTACTCGACGCTTTTCAATTTTCATAACGATTATATTCTTCCATGTATCAATCTGGGGCCACCGAATCACCTAGGGTTCTGCTAGTTCTCCTAATCTAAACATGAAGTCCAACAATGTGAGATCGTTTTTTTGATACAAATGAGTGGCTTCTTTAAACATTTTGCTGCGCGTTTTGTTGTTTTGGCGTTCAGTGGATTTTATTACTTCCTTTTCCAGATTGGCTGCTAAAAATATTGATATGGTCGCCCTCTAGTGGAGATTCTTGTGTGCATTGTCACAATTAGTAGNGCTAAAAATATTGATATGGTCGCCCTCTAGTGGAGATTCTTGTGTGCATTGTCACAATTAGTAGGATCTTTGTCTGCATTTCAAATACCCACACCCGCATATGTAGTGTTTTAACTTTATGCTATAATAATATACATTGTTTGATTCCAGGTACATTCAAATTGACACTTCAATTTACAGAGGATGATCCCGATAAGCCACCAACAGTGAGATTTATGTCCCGGATGTTTCATCCAAACAGTAAGTTGACCTTAGGTCGTGTGTAGACAGCCTACTTTGTATAGGGTATACTTAAGTCGTATCCTAAAACTAAGATCACAGTCTACAAATGCATTTGCTTTAAATATATCTCCAACTACTTGTACCAAAAACCCATCCACATTTGCAACCCCAAACCACCCCCTCCTCCACCCCAAAACAAAAATGACCCACCAACTCAAAATCAAAGAGGTACGAGCCTATGAGGGCTTTTGGCAGCATGCAACTAAACAAGATTTACCATCGGATTTTTTTTTATCATTTTGTGTATCTCCTCCAACAGCAGTTGATAGGATTCAGAATGATTGCATATGCCTTATAAGTTTGCTGCTAGAAAGCTGCCTTTCAGACTCCCACCCTCTTTTTCCTTTCTTTCCCTTCCCCTTCTCCAATTCCCACCCCCTCTTTCCTTAGATAATTGGCCCTGGGCAGATTAGTTCCAGTTATGGTTATGACTGTTGAATTAGATGAGCACCACTAGACTACAATGTTCAATGTTTTTTGACCTGAATACCAATGGTGTATCTCTCCCTTATTTTTCTTCATCTTCTTTGAACTCCCATTGCAGTTGCTGCTCTGTGATCCAAACCCAAATTGGCAAATTCAACTGCCAATTCTGAAGCAGCATGGTTGTTTAGAGAGAACAAGTGTGAGTACAACCAAAAGTGCTGTGAGATTATTGAGTAGAGCTGGACAGCAGATTAGCTCTCACTTCATTGGGGTGTGTTATAGGAGGTTGTCAACTGTTCGGCTGAGCTAGATCCCTACAGAATTTCTCCTCCTGGTAGGGTGGTCTGATTTTCCCTGAAATGCTCTGTTCATCATCGTACATTAATAACAAATGCTGTTGTAAACTTCGATGCTTAAGATCATGTTATATGTTTGCTCGTAGGATCTTCAAGCCTCTCAATCTTGATTTGATTTGTTGTATTGCCACATCTTGGAGTTAATGTGCAGGCTGATATCTTGTGTCAAATTGGCCTAGGATTGTATGAGATTTTTCGCCTTAAATCATATTGTGAATATTTTATCTGGAATAAATTTCAGATACTTAATTGATTGGCTTATTGATGCAAATCTCCGAGGCAGTTGTTATTGCATTAATGTTTTTAGCTTTTTCATGAATGTGTTAACATTTGCGCTTGTCCACACTTAATTGTGGTCTTTGACACGCATGAGCACCACTAGAAGAGATTTGGAGATTCGAAAAGGAGGTTAGTTCTGGACTCATTCATTTTCAGTTTTAGATTGAAATGTGGAACTTAAATATTTGAAAATGAGAACTTGCCTGGGTGAGCTTAAAAAGACACTTGAGCCTGAGAGCAGCTGTACATGAGCTGAAGCCTTAAGTAACACTTAGAAGGGTAAAATTAGTTCTAGGGTAGATACGGCTAAATTATTGTAAAGGTGCGAGATAAATATTACATATCTTCTCTACTAGCTCAACGCTTACCAGTACGGTGATTCAGCGACAGCAAACTGGTTCACGCGACTGAATTCACATAAGAGTACTGGGGAGAATTGCTTTGGTTGCTATGCTAATGGACATGGCTTACATTCTGAACTTGGAAATCACCTCTATAGGAACATTTTCTCGTACAAGTTCTTTGCAAACAGAATTGAGATCAACACTTCCATTGTTTCTACTGATGAACCTTTTATATATTGCAGGTGGTTCTACCATTTGATATGCTCAAATCCTCCAACGCACTACTTCTCTGCGTAGTCTTCTTATATGTCACTAGCCCCTTTCATAACGTGAAAGTAAAGCTTTCAAGGCAGGCTGCACATATATTGTAAGTCAAAATTCGAATTATGATCTTTTATGGGAGTGCCCATAGTCTCAACTGCGTATATCTTAAGAGAGCGAGCTCTCATCCGACATATTTTTTCTCTAATTTTGTTCATGATGAATCAACTACACCTAAACATGGATTCAAGTTGTCTGTCATGTATTAATGGTGGATGATTCGTCAAGAGAGAAATTGAGAGAAAAAAGTATTTGAGGGGATTTGAANTAAACATGGATTCAAGTTGTCTGTCATGTATTAATGGTGGATGATTCGTCAAGAGAGAAATTGAGAGAAAAAAGTATTTGAGGGGATTTGAATGATATCATATGGAGGCAGAAACACTGAAAACCCATACTAAAACCGTCCTTCTCAATGGAAACTTGAGGGATTAAATAGAATTTTGGGATTGAAATGCAAGTAGCTCTTAGACTAGGNTATTTGAGGGGATTTGAATGATATCATATGGAGGCAGAAACACTGAAAACCCATACTAAAACCGTCCTTCTCGATGGAAACTTGAGGGATTAAATAGAATTTTGGGATTGAAATGCAAGTAGCTCTTAGACTATGGTTGGTAAACTATAGCTTTCTGATTTGACATCAAATCTAAAAAATTCATAGAACAAGCAAATGTTCAAGCTTATCCTGGTGCCCGTGGGCCGATTGTATTGGCCTTAAGAGTGTCGGTGGTTCCAACACCGCAAAAACAACATCCTCAAATCACAAATTCAAATGGGAGTCAAATAATTCTATCCCAAGTGTTTATTTGAACCATCATTTCTGAGTCCACCAAATACTTGGAGAAAATATTTATTGTAAGAGTGATTTGTTATGTGATNAACACCGCAAAAACAACATCCTCAAATCACAAATTCAAATGGGAGTCAAATAATTCTATCCCAAGTGTTTATTTGAACCATCATTTTTGAGTCCACCAAATACTTGGAGAAAATATTTATTGCAAGAGTGATTTGTTATGTAGTATCATTAATTAATAATATGTAAATAAATAAAAAAAATAGATTATATACAAATCAATAATTATCCGTGTCTATATAAGTTAATAATTATTCAAATGAGGTTCATCTTCTCTATTTAGTATTTATTATTAATTAATAATATTGCGTGATAATATTAATGTGGTACTTGGTGGTCCATTTGTTTTGTGCCAACTCGGGCCATCGNAATTATCCGTGTCTATATAAGTTAATAATTATTCAAATGAGGTTCATCTTCTCTATTTAGTATTTATTATTAATTAATAATATTGCGTGATAATATTAATGTGATACTTGATGGTCCATTTGTTTTGTGCCAACTCGGGCCATCGCGACAGCTCTTGTGTCGGTAATCAACAAAAAAGGGTAAGGTAGTGTGCCTTTTTCGACCGTTCCAGCCCTTAGATTAAAAAAAGTACAATTTTGGCCCACTAAAACTCGATTAAGATGTGCTCTGGTCAATGAGAAAGTGTAGCCTTATCCGGACGTCAATCCGAAGGGAATTTATACGCTATCGTCAACGGTATTAGTATCGAAAATTATAATTTTTTAATATTAAATTATAATTTTTAAGATATAAATTATAATTTTAAAAGATATAATCGATCATAGAATATTAAGGTTGATATTGTATTTTTAATGATCGATCATTAGTGTTTATAATCGATCATAACTTTTTTNCGGACGTCAATCCGAAGGGAATTTATACGCTATCGTCAACGGTATTAGTATCGAAAGTTATAATTTTTTAATATTAAATTATAATTTTTTAAGATATAAATTATAATTTTAAAAGATATAATCGATCATAGAATATTGAGGTTGATATTATATTTTTAATGATTGATCATTAGTGTTTATAATCGATTATAACTTTTCTTGAACAATTATAATTTTTCTTTTCAAAATTATAACTTTACCATATAAAATAATACTAATTGATAATACCAACATCAACATTTTTTTTTTCGGGTACCGTAAAGTTTCCCTAAGCGGAAGTGGCCTGGCCTAGCTCTTGTCAAGCACTACAGTGGTCCATGCCCGGTTCGTATGCGTCTCCCATTCGTTTGGTCTTACTTAATAATACTATGGGGACACCGGCTGTTGCATCAAAAAAGAAAAACTAATGATGTCCATCTGTCTGGGGCTTCACGTTTGACAGCTTGCGGTTTCAGAAAGTTTCTTCATGAAGCTTATCTTGGTAAAAAATGGGTGATATTGACCTCTTGAAAATTACTTTGAATTTACATTTACATCTTCAGTATGGCTAAATAAGAAACTCACTAGACTGAAATTACCACCAAACAAATAAGAAAGAAGAGACTAGTTATGTGAAAAAATTAAAAGACGAATAGAAAAAACGTAGATAGCGATGTAAAAAGAAAGATATAAAATTNACATCTTCAGTATGGCTAAATAAGAAACTCACTAGACTGAAATTACCACCAAACAAGTAAGAAAGAAGAGACTAGTTATGTGAAAAAATTAAAAGACGAATAGAAAAAACCTAGATAGCGATGTAAAAAGAAAGATATAAAAATTTGTATGTAATAATTATTGTTTCACAATTACACCGGATTTCAATAATGCAACGCCATTTAGTTGAATATAAGTTCGAGTCATTTTCTCAATAATTTTCAATAATCACAATTAACTTATGCCTTTAATTTGATAATAATCTATTAGCTAACTAATCTTTTTCATTCCTTGCCGACAACTTAACTATTTCGATAAGCCCATTTTCACATACTTTTGTGATTTGATGGTCATTCCATCTTCGATAAAAGAACAGACAAAAAGGATAAATTATATTTACACCTCTTAAACTATAACTTTTTTTTATTATTCCCTTAATTACCAAAATTTTCACATTATACCCTAAATTAACACTTTTATTTTGCGTTACTCAAATCATAAATGTCTGTTATTTTTTTTGACAAAAATCACTGACATGTTAGAGTAAAATCAAAAAAATTACTTAATTTGAAGAGCAAAATAAAATATCTTTTCGTTAAACATGTAAATGACGTTAATAATTAAGGCAAGTGAAATTAATCATGTGAGTGTAATTTACCCAAAAAAAACTCTATTATTTTCAAATTCGAGCTTCCAACACGACGTCGTTGGGTTTCATTTTTTTGGTTCAATTGCGTTCCATTTGGAATGGGGGCGCTGCTACCGCCTCACAGGTGTCTCCCAAATTTCAAATTTGCTTTCAAATAAAATCAACTTTACCAAGTGGAAAGCGACTGTGTAACTAGAGAGAGAGAGCATAGAGGCAAGCGGTGGAGGGAGGGGTCCATGACGCTCAAGTGCGAGAAGCTAACTCATGGTGTGATGGTATGGCTTTGGTTCTTGCTTCCATCTCAATCAATCTTTCACCTGAAAAATGTCTCTCCTGTATCTGTTCTCTTTTTCCTGTGGCATTTTCTTCACTCAATTGACTCTCTGTTTGCTTGTTTCCTCTTCTTGAATTTGAGTCTTCAGGAATGATAGTTATGGGGTCTTGAAGTTGTTCGTTCTTCAGGTATCGCTCAGATCTGAACCACATTGCCTCAAAACCCACTTTAATTATGCAAATGTGTTTTTCTCTTTTCGCAAATGCATATAGCTGAATAGTCCGCTGAGGACTTTTGCTTTTGTAAGTGTTGCCTGTATTTTCTTATTGTATAATTGTCCGGCGATTGTTTATGTGATTTGACGTTTGATTATCTGTATCACTACTTCAATAAATACTTCAAACTCATGTCGATGGTCTAGCTTTTTTTTTTGTTCTCTTGCTAATTTTATGAGGAAATGGTAGTTACTCACTCTGGTTTTCTATGGACATCTTTAATTTTCACTGCGAATGTCGCTGCCTGGGGGATAATATCTTATTTTTCAGAATCTAATTCTGGTATTTGCAATGTATTGCAATGGATCATGCTTAATCTGAGAGTGTTAAATGTGTTTTACATCTTATACCTGCTATGTACCGATGAGTAAGATGGTGTCAGTGGTGTGCTTAATTGTAGCAAGAAGAATGCTTGAATTTGAGCCTTTTTCTTTTTAGACAATACACCTATCACAAATACTGAGATAATTTTCTGGCTGTTGTTTTGATGTGACGGTTTATCGGGTTTTTAGTTTGAATATATTGTAAGAGAAAATTGTAGAGATTCATAACTTTTCACAGCTTATATGTTGATTGTATAGTTTGATTCGCTAAGATAATTACCTCTTTGAACTTTTATGTATTCTGAAATTTTAACATTTTTTGGGAAGCATGCAGGGGTACAAAATCAAGTTCCACTGTTTCTGACACTGACCTGTCAGCCATGGGGAAATCTCCAGGAAAATGGATCAAGGCTGTGCTTTTTGGAAAGAAATCATCAAAATCTGGATTTTCAAAAGTAAGAAAGCTTTTGTGGGGCTGTTGATTCACATTGCCCTAGTCTAGTTTCCTCTTGTCACTCATGGTTTCAATGTGACTGTATCTACACCTGCAAATGCTGTGCATGCTTGTATATTATTACCATATTTTGGTTGGGAATGAGAATATTGCAAAAGTTATTGACAGTAAACGAAGGAGTAGAGGAAGATCAAATTTAACTTTACATGAAATAGTTAAGAAATATATGATACTTGGGAGAATGCTTTGTTGAATTGAGTTACATTGAGTATATTTTGGTTGGGGCATGACAAGTTTTGGCATGAAGGTGATGCTTGTTCAGAAAGATTGTGTGTGACTTCTACTTTGTAGCCCNAGTTACATTGAGTATATTTTGGTTGGGGCATGACAAGTTTTGGCATGAAGGTGATGAACGCTAGGGGTTTTGGGTTAGATTAACTCCCAGTATATCTGTCCGGATAAACGCGATTATGATCTTATGTACTCTAGCTGGTATGCACAGAATTGTTGTTATCAAATTATCAATTTCCATTTCCCACCTTCCCTCTTTGGTGTCTTTTTTGTCCATGGATATAGTCTGTACTTTATGTCTCGTTGTCTCTTACTGCTGCACTTAACTAGTTAGCCTGATCTGTCTCTGATGTAATTTGTCTTCACTTGTCTAATTTCATGGCAATCCATCACTCTTTGATACTGACTCTCTTCTACATGAGACTCTTCCCTGATTCTGTGGTTCAGATTTAATTTTTTTGTAACAGATCATGCGTGTGCTTTATCAGCCTATCCCATGCCTAAAATGTTGAATTACAACATGTCCCTTCACTAGTTATGTAGTTCTGCCTTTGAATTTGGAAGATATAGAGATTCCATTTACTTTCTGTGGATATTTCTTATGCTGATAAAGATGATACATTCATTTTGGCTCAATATTCTTTTAGCAGTACTACAATTTTTTCATGTGCATTTTTTATTCTGAAATTTTATTGTCCTATGTAAAGGATGCCACAATTGAAAAGAAGGCATCCATTGCGGCCAAGACACCATCTGGAGATTCGACTGTGGATTCTCCAGTGATTTCAGACTTGCTATGTCACACAACAACCACCAATTTACCAAATTATGCAGCTGTATCATTTTCTGGAAAGCCAGGTGCTGATACAGAAGGTACCATAGGGTTTAGTTCAGCAAATGATGCTGAAATAGCAAGGCAAGAACATGCTGCTACAAAGGCACAGGCCGTTTTTAGGGGCTACTTGGTAATGTCCTATAGCACTGATACTGCAATCATGGTGGACAATTTTATATTAAGAAAATAGGGAGGCTGGTTCTTGTTTTCTTCTTGAAGTACTATGTTTGTAGTTTTCACGTACTGTATATGCTAGTTTTCAGGCTCTATTAGCATGGTGTTAAAATGTCCGTTAGGAGTCTCCTATCAGCTTTTAACTACAAGTTGCTTTGAATACTTGTTATGAAAATTTGGTTGATGTTGTTTTATCTGTCAATAGGAAGTGGTAGTATTGTTGGGTTGAGGTAAAGAATGTATGGTTTCAGCCAACTTTTCTCATCTGTACCAAGATGGTTTGGTTAAAACTTAAATGTGTGTGTTAAAGAGAACTCAGTGCTTTGAAATGTGTTTTTCCCTTCTGATATTCCTTCAAAATGGTTCTTTTTTTTTCTTGGTTCCTAGTGGTATAATGCTATTTTTGTCAGCCGAAAACCTTGATAAGGTAAAATAATACTTTAATTGGGTTTTGGAAATAAGAGCTGGAGTTGAAATCTTCATTTAAAACTCTCTATATTTATATGTCCCATGTACTTGTCTTATGTTTGCATATCAGAAAGTACTCACTTTGTTTGTGTTTGTCCTATATCCTTAGGATTTTCCATGATGTGTCTGAGTATGTTTCAGAATTTCGACCTTTATGCCCTGGGCAATACACGTGCTACAATGGCCGAATTTTTCTTGACAAAATCAAGTGATGCATAGAAAAAGAAGTGAATATTCAATAGTCAGTATTATATCTTGCTGAGAGGTGTGCAGTATGCAGTATATGGAGCTTCTGATTATTAAAAATTAAAAAAAAAAATTCTGCATGTATTGCTGAATATATTCATGCGTGCATTGTATTATGGTCTACTCATTTCTATGGAAGGAGGGTCACAAACAGTTTACTGCATGCATCTGTGCCTATAGTTGGCATTTGCCATGCATATTGTTACTTTAGTTTCGAACAATTATTCTTGTAGATACTGATATTGGAAACACTTTTTACTTGTGTTTAGCATACTGACAATCTTTAGTGTTATCATTTTCCAAAAAGTGAACAACCACATATCTACTTCTTTCCTATTATTGACTTGTTTGCAGTATAAACTGTTAGTGTGATGTGGTTTTAGTTGAGTAATCCATTTTTCTTGATATAATATCTGTTCTAATGAAAAATAACTATACCTAAAGGCTCGTCGGGCATTTCGGGCTCTCAAAGGCATCATAAGGCTGCAAGCACTAGTGCGTGGGCACTTGGTTAGGAGACAGGCTGTTGCTACTTTGTGTTGTATGCAGGCAATTATTAAGTTTCAGGCAGTGGTTCGTGGCCGGAGGGTTAGACTTTCTGACATTGGGCGTGAGGTGCATAAAAAAAGCAGTCTGGGAGAACCTCAGGTACCTTCTTTGAGGGACATCCCTCATTAGCTGCATCTGTCTCTACCCCTTCATTTTTTTCCTAAATAATCAGAGTAAATTGTTTTATGTCTTTTCTGTTGTACTTTACTACCTTATTTTTATCGACAGAACTTTTCAAGATTACAGCGAATATCATTTCGTAAATTGTGATGTTTTTCATCATCTTCATTATTCGGTTAGTTTGGGAACATGGTGATAACAATGGCTAGTGTCTACCATATTGTGGGTCAGCCTCAATCATCTCTTGTGCTGTTCTTCTTACCCTGTGTGTCTGTCGTTTTGGTGCTTGCAACTTGATATGTAGTACTCATAAATGTCCTTGGTGATTGTCTCGGACTTGTCTTCTCAGTTCTTGCTCTCAGTTAGTCCTACCTCAAGCTTCTAACACGTGCATTTATTTTCAGCCCTGATCATAATATGCCCCCTATTCATATAAATCTTATTTGTAGTTCTGTACAGTTTGTACATAATTGGACTGACAAAATTTCCAATTTCAAGAAGGAAACCTCTTGGTATTTCTTCAACTATTGACTGTTTTCTTTTTTTTCATTTTACCGTGTTATCACCATTTCATTTCTGGTTGGGTTCATCATCTTTTGTATGCTTTCAAGGCTGGTGATTTAGTTGCATCTTAATAATTGGTTTTTATGCCTTTTTATAATTCAGCAGGATTCTAAACGGATGGACTTATTTGGAATCAACACATCTTTTAGGTCAGAGAAGCTATCCAGAAATACATTTGTTAGTAAGGTATATTCAACTTATTATGCTGCATCTAATCCTTTGAATAACTTTTTATACTTTTGGTGGTGATCCTGTATAAACTTCATTTTTCTTAAAAGAATGAGTACATAATTTGAGTTAAAAAAATCTGGGTCCTCGTGTCTATATAAGTATGATTTTGGCTTGATACATTCCTTTTTCCAATCTGGCATGCATTTATGAAAGTGATATGCCCTGCGAACCACAGTCACATAATTTTAGAAAATTGGCTACATATTATCCTTGTAGAAGCCTCTATGTATACGGTGGATGATGGTTAAAGTGCTGTCAGTGTCAGACAATCCCTAGAGGAGTGAGTGCAAATCCTAAGATCAGAAGTCTGGAGAGTTCAGCACATTTATATCACTAGTCTTGTCTGACATATACCAACTTGTACATCATGAGTGTTTATTTCATATATGAACTGCTTGTATTGTGATTTTGAAAAGCTCCTAATGTATGTAAATAAAACAAAGTGACTCTTATTTTGGGTGCCCTTGCAAAGAAATGGCACAGACTGCTCAGCATTACTAAATCCTTGAACTTTTGATATGTTTGATTGAAGATAATCCATACATTTTGAGACAAATTGATAAAAGTTACAAGTGCAGAGGTTTTGATTTTTCTCATAGTTCTATCTCATGACCACAAGAATTGGAAGTTGATGCTATTCTTTGTTGCTTATTTTAGCTTCTTGCTTCATCACCTACTGCTATGCCCCTGAGCCTCCATTATGAACTGCTTGAGCCGAATTCACCTTTGAACTGGCTTGAACGCTGGTCCTCGTCTCAACTTTGGAAACCACTTGCACGGCCAAAGAAGATTTTTGAGACAAAGCTTCAAACAAAGCAGGCTAACATGCAAGTTGTTGACACAGAAGCAGGAAGACCAAAAAGAGGTTTCAGGAAGCTTCCTGCAGCAAATGTTGACAATAGACCATTGAATTCCTCAGAATTTGAAAAATCCAGACGCACAAGGAAAGTGTCAGCTTATCAAACAGAATTAGTGTCAGAACAGCCTCAAAATGAAATTGAGAAGGTCAAACGCAATTTGAGAAAAGTTTCTGCACCCGCAGCAGTGGCTTCTGATGAGTCAGAATCCATAACAGGAAAGCCATGGCAGAGTTCTAAAAAAGTGTCAACCTCTCCCACTGCTGATGTTTCTGAACAGGGAATGGATGATCCCTCTGAAAAAATGCATGATTCACCTCTCGTAGTGTACAATCAGGGTGTGACAGAAACACCTCCAAAGTCATTGCCAGTGCATGAATCAATTGATGTGCTGCATGATGATCATCCTGAGGTCGGGCTACATTCTTTGGAAAACAGTGCTAAGGTTGAAAACAGTCCCTCAGAGAATGGGTTGAACATGAAGGAAGATCAAACTAGCAAGGAAAACCAGAGAACCAGGAGGAGATCTTTCCCAGCAAAGCAGGAATATCCTGAAAATGTCTCACAGAACAAACCAACCTTGCCAAGTTATATGGCAGCAACTGAATCTGCTAAGGCAAAGCTTAGAGCACAAGGATCCCTCAAGTCTGGTGAAGATGGGGATGAAAATGGTTTCATCAGGCGTCATTCTCTGCCGTCGTCCACCAGTGGCAAATTGAGCTCCCTGTCTCCTCGGATGCAAACGCTGGTACAAGCAAATAGAAAAGGACGAAGCAAAGGTGACAGATCACTATTTTCCTCCAGGGATGGTAAGGGTTGGAACCTTGATAGCCTTTGCAATTTATTCTTTCTACTTTGATCTTGCATTTTGTCTATGCTCTCTCACAATCGAGTTGCCAAATTTGTTTGGATTTTTGTTTTTAAATTTTATCATAAATGATATCCATAGGTCTCCAATGCATGTGTGTGTAGTTCATTTTTAGTTTCAGTGCATATTTATGCGTACATATAGTAAAGTAATCACTTCCATGTTGTCTGCGACTCTCTCTGGGTGTTTCAGGTAAGATACTAAACAATTAAATCCACCCGCACTGATGTGTAATCCTGTTATTAACCAATTTTTAGGGTTTTCTGACATGGGTTTCTGTTTCATTGCAAATGTCAATTATGGTGTAATCTTCTGAATGATTTTAAATGTGGATGCTGTGTGTTTCAGAGAAGGTGCTCCAGCCTGGGTGGAGGAGATGAGTGCGGCAATCTGCTCTTTCAAAAAAGTCTGGGGCTAGATGTGTCTATTTTGGTTGCAGTTTCTTCATTTGGTTCAAACCACAGTGGTAGAACATGAAATAATACTTGATAAACAACATTTTCTTGAAATATTCTGTTTTCCCCATGTTTTGCTTTGCATTTTGAGGATTATGTGTGGGATGTATAGTCATATAGACCCAGATCTGCTGGTTTATTTAACATCAGTGTGCTTTACTATTTAATTCTGTTCTGCAATAAACATTGTGACATGCACATGGGCATACAGGATAATTCGTTTTGGACTCTCTCTTGCTCACTCAGTGAAGATGTCATAGGCGTAAGGGTGTTCATGGGTCAGGTCGGCCCATGGGTCCTATCATCCGGTTCAAAAATAAGCCCGAAGTTTGACAGGCTTGATAAGAAGCCCGCATGAGTTTGAGCTTTATATCCTTTAAAAGGGGGTTTGGACTTACCTTCAAATCCATTATTTGGCTCAAAATTCAACCCAAAAGTCTACATGCCTTTCTATCAAATTGTTTGAAAAAAAAATTGACCATTAAGATTTTGAAAGTTTATTGGTAATATATGATTTTATTTTATTTAAATAAAATTATTTATTATTTATTTTTTGTCTATTTGAACTTATTTTTAATTCAAAAATATAATTTATAAAAATATTAAGTTAAAGTTTTTTTAAATAAAATTGTATATATAAAAAAAAATGTTCACCTAGTAGGCTTGTCTATTTATTCTTATTCAAAGTCTAAGTTTGGTCTATTTGATAACTTGTTTGAATAAAGATTTGGGTATACATTACTTAACTTGATCCAAAAATTTTTTACGGACCTGGTCTAGTCCGGCCCATGGGCACCTCTGCATAGGCCACTAGTTGAGGACAAGTGTGGCGTCCATTGCTGACGCTTTAAGAGTACGGTTTGATCGGTCGTTGCCAATGTGTTGGCGTAGGTCGTCTTTTATATGTGGCTGACTAGGGAAATCAATGGATGGAAACGGGATATAGTCTTCGTCTCAATATTCGCTTAAAAAAATTTTGTTCATCTCGGGTTCATCTTGACTAACGGATATAATATTCATTCCCATCTTCGTCCGCAGATAAATTTATAATTCCCGTTCCCGCTCAAGCCAAGTCAATATAATCTAAAATTTTAAATAAATATAATATTTTAAATAATCTTATCAAAATTCTAACATAACATAACGCTAAATAATCTAGCAATTAAATAAATTAAGAATACAATTCAGTTAAATGGATGACATTATAATAGCNTTTGATAACTTGTTTGAATAAAGATTTGGGTATACATTACTTAACTTGATCCAAAATTTTTTTACGGACCTGGTCTAGTCCGGCCCATGGGCACCTCTGCATAGGCCACTAGTTGAGGACCAGTGTGGCGTCCATTGCTGACGCTTTAAGACTACGGTTTGATCGGTCGTTGCCAATGTGTTGGCGTAGGTCGTCTTTTATATGTGGCTGACTAGGGAACTCAATGGATCGAAACGGGATATAGTCTTCGGCTCAATATTCGCTTAAAAAAATTTTGTTCATTTCCAGTCCATCTTGACTAACGGGTATAATATTTATTCCCATCTTCGTCCGCGGATAAATTTATAATTTCCGTCCCCGTTCAAGCCAAGTTAATATAATCTAAAATTTTAAATAAATATAATATTTTAAATAATCTTATCAAAATTCTAACATAACATAACGCTAAATAATCTAGCAATTAAATAAATTAAGAATACAATTCAGTTAAATGGATGACATTATACCAAATTGAAATAGCAAAACAGCCCCCAAAAAATAGAGGCAGAAGTAGCCCCAGAATGGCATCAAAATAACCCCAAAACAGCACCAAAATAGCATAGAAACGGCCCCATAAACACCACCAAAACGCACATTGAACCAACCCAATTGAACACAAACAGACATATTAAAAAAGCCCCAAGTTCAATAATGAAATGTAAATCAAAGATATAAATTTCTTAACACATTAAACATTATACACAAGAAAAGCACCTTCTGCCGAATTACAGAGAAGAAATATTCAACTCTACAATCATACACAAACGATCAATATGCAGATAGCAGTATGCCAGTTTCTGTCTGTAGCAGATCAAATAGCCATTGTGCGTGGCTGATGGGTAAAGGTATTAGAGATGAAGAGGAGACTTGAGTGTTTTAGATCTTGTGTCTAATTGTCATATAGATAGAAAATGGACTGAGAAGAGAAGCGAAAAGAATGTACCTTGACTGAAGAATCCACAATGGAGGATCGGGCTCTGCAAATTGCCAGAAAAGACGGCTGGCGATGATTCGACTGATGGTGTCTAAGGCTCAAGGTGGTCCGGTGTCGGCTTGTGGTTGCTTTGCAGTGGGCGGCGCTGGAGCTGAGACGATAGAGGAGAGAAGGGAGTCGAGGTGTGGCGGTTGCCAGAGAGTTTGAGGAGTGTGGCTCGGGATCGACTGAGAGAAGCAAAGAGAGGCGAGAGAAGCAGTTAAGCTACTGGGGTTTCAATTGAGAGTTTATATATATATATATATAACGGGTAATTGGGACGGGGCGGGGCGGGGCGGGGCAAAAGTAAGTCAATTTTTGCACGAATTTATATGGATATTTTTGTATACGTTTATCGTCCANGGTAATTGGGGGGGGGGGGGGGGGGGGGGGGCAAAAGTAAGTCAATTTTTGCACGAATTTATATGGATATTTTTGTATACGTTTATCGTCCAATACGTATAATTCATTCTCAGACCAAACAGGACAGATTTGGACGAATACCCGTTTTTTTTTCGGTCCATTGCCATCGCTATGGCTGCCCCACAAGAACCGATCAGGAGGGATAATATTTTCTTATAAAATTTGATACCAAATTAAAAATGACATGATCCGAAAGACTTGGATTAAATACGGGAGATAGCGAATACTTGACATCTTTTAATGACCCATTTTTCTTGTTGTTCATCACTCTGCCCCGTTAACCACTTTCTTTGCATTCTCTTGGTGTCAAATGAAGGAAGATTTTTTTTTTTTTTTCAATTTTGATATTGGGTGATTATGGTGTTAATACATGCATAATTAGATAATTTTTAACTTGATTTTTCAAGCTTTTGGATCTTTTGTTTTTTACGTTCATGGAAAGTCTAAAAGTGGTTGGCTTAGTTGAGACCAAATGGAGTCTTTATTGTACGTTTGTGGTTCATATAATTTGAATACGACTTGATTAATAAACGAACGGTTTTAACATCAAGTATATGACATAAGTAGTTAAATAATTTAGTGTTAAGATTGATACAAGAAGCCTCATTGAAGATAGGGTACCCAAAATCGAGTGAATAACGAGTCACTCAGATTAGATTATTGGATAAGTACCATTAATTAAATCTAACTATAAAAATACTATAAAATATAAAAAAATTTATATTTGATTGTATAGTGTATACATGTTATGCACACAACACAAAAAAGACGATTATTCTATTTTTATCATAGAATAATTATTTGATCTCTTTTTTTTTTCTTTGGATCAGAATTAAATCAAAATTTCTCGAGTTATACCATAGAAGTTTCTATAAAAAATGAAAAAATGTCTTAGTTTTGAGTGCAATTTGAACTATGGATGAAGTTTATCCAAGATCGGAACACAATACAATATAATCCAATCACCAGCGGCCTGCGCCGCCCTCCACATCAACATATGGCTAACCATTTCGCTTTCATAGAGCTCATAGAGTTGAAAAGCTAGCTCACAAAATACCAAAACTTTGATCACTGGGTTGATAACCCATCTAATTGTTATCAGCTTTGCCTATGCTCAGCTGACTTATCGTGGACAATTCCATTCCCAAGGCTAACCCATTTGTTTTGGGAACAGTGACGATGTTATGAACCCATGTTTAGAATTTGTCCTGAAAATTCTATTCCCATGATTAACCCATTTGTTTTGGAATAGTGACAATGTTATGAATTCATGAGTAGAACATGTCCTTGAAAATCGTTTGCAAGAGAAGAATGCTTAAGAGTTTGTATACACACATTTAATCTTATATTTACTAATATGAGATTGTAATATTTCATCACGCTTCCGTAACAGACGTCCACGGCAGTTTACTCTATCGACACTGACCCAAAGATAACCTTTTTTTTTTAACGACTCCATTCATTTATCAATATTCAATGAGATATGCCAATGTTCATACATAATATCAAATCATCTTAATCCAGCCTATAGATCGGTCACTCCATGACTCGACCACGGAGAGTTGCAGCCTATACTGCGTTCGATTTAATACTCGACATAGTGGATAACTCTGATACTAATTGTTATGAATAGAGTTTACTCTTAAAAATCAACTTGCACGTGAGAGTGGCCAAGAATTTATATTCACATATCTATTCTTATATTTAACCGATGTAAGATTTTAAAAGTTATGAATCAATGATCTCCTTTTTTGATCCACCTGCTCGAGACAGATCCTTTTTGAGGTAATTTTTTTTTTTTGTTTAACCTTGGATTATTATGTGATGGTTCTAAATTGCCAATTGGATGGCATGCAGTGTCTTCATCAGAATGTGCAATTTTGCAAAACCCGTTTATATTAAAGAAGTTTTAATAAGGTTTTGTATTTTCATCAAGTTTTCAAGCAACCATCAAATTGATGAAAAATAGGGTTCCCTTAAATTATTGACTCAATTTTACTTTATTTCTTCAACTTTTGAATTATTCACACTACCCCCTTCAACTAGTTAGTTGAATTATTCACACCGCCTCAATCCCAAACATCCATTACCTACTTGAATGGAAATTGATGACATGTCGGAGTAAAGTGAAAAAAAAATCATATAGTTCGATAGAATGAAATGATTTTTTATTAAATACATAGTGATCGTTAATAATTTGGACAATAAGAAATTAATCACATAATTGAGGATAAAAAGTGATAAACATGATAGTTAAAGAGAATAATGTAAAAAAATAGTCATAGTTAAAGGTTAAAGTATGATTTACCCTTAAAAATAAGTAAAAATTTCTATTAACATAGAATAAAGGAAAAACTTTATTGGCTGTCAGCAACTAGTTTATAAAAAGAGCAAATTATACTTTATATCTTAAAAATTTAACAACTTTTATTTTATATCTTCAAAAATTAAAATTTTTATATTATATTCTCAATATATTTATATGAACAGTGTTATAACGTAACTTTTGGATAAAATATTTTAGGTTAATTATATTGGAGATCCCTAAAGTATGAAATTTATATTATTTTAGTCTCTAATATTTCAATTATATCATTTTGATCATTGAAGTATTGAATATGTTTCTATATGGTCTCTCAAGTAGGCAGTGTCTAGATTGCTAACTATTTTTAATTATAAGTTTGTCACATGATACTTAATATGGAAAAAAAAAATAATTTAGATATTTCTTGATCAAATTTTTATTGAAAATATCTACTTAAATTATATAATTTTGATTATGAACTATTCAAATTTTGGTCAAAAATTATCCATATTACATATTTTTTTTGTCAAGAGTACCCAAATTTTGTTTAAAAGCTATTAAAATTATTTTTTTGTCTATATTTAAGTATTATGTAACAAATTTATGATAAAAAATTGTTAGCAATTTGAACGTTATCTGCTTGAAAGACCAATTAAAAATATATTTAATATGTCAGAGGTCAAAATAATATAATTAAAACATTAGAACGATACAAATCTAAAGGACCTCCGGTGCAAATAATCCAAATATTTTTGACAGATTGAGCGACGGATAGTAGTAAAAATGTCGTTAGCTGCCCCCGGCTATCGAGCTAAACAATGGCAGTGTTGTTCCCTTCAGCTTCTTTCGTCGATGTCCCCGTTACAGGTTTGTAGTCTTTTCTTTTCTTTTCACGCACACACTCTCAAATTTAATCTCAGTTTTGAACTAGGGTTTGATTACGGCATGGAAGAAATCGATTNTCCCAAACATCCATTACCTACTTGAATGGAAATTGATGACATGTCGGAGTAAAGTGAAAAAAAAATCATATAGTTCGATAGAATGAAATGATTTTTTATTAAATACATAGTGATCGTTAATAATTTGGACAATAAGAAATTAATCACATAATTGAGGATAAAAAGTGATAAACATGATAGTTAAAGAGAATAATGTAAAAAAATAGTCATAGTTAAAGGTTAAAGTATGATTTACCCTTAAAAATAAGTAAAAATTTCTATTAACATAGAATAAAGGAAAAACTTTATTGGCTGTCAGCAACTAGTTTATAAAAAGAGCAAATTATACTTTATATCTTAAAAATTTAACAACTTTTATTTTATATCTTCAAAAATTAAAATTTTTATATTATATTCTCAATATATTTATATGAACAGTGTTATAACGTAACTTTTGGATAAAATATTTTAGGTTAATTATATTGGAGATCCCTAAAGTATGAAATTTATATTATTTTAGTCTCTAATATTTCAATTATATCATTTTGATCATTGAAGTATTGAATATGTTTCTATATGGTCTCTCAAGTAGGCAGTGTCTAGATTGCTAACTATTTTTAATTATAAGTTTGTCACATGATACTTAATATGGAAAAAAAAAATAATTTAGATATTTCTTGATCAAATTTTTATTGAAAATATCTACTTAAATTATATAATTTTGATTATGAACTATTCAAATTTTGGTCAAAAATTATCCATATTACATATTTTTTTTGTCAAGAGTACCCAAATTTTGTTTAAAAGCTATTAAAATTATTTTTTTGTCTATATTTAAGTATTATGTAACAAATTTATGATAAAAAATTGTTAGCAATTTGAACGTTATCTGCTTGAAAGACCAATTAAAAATATATTTAATATGTCAGAGGTCAAAATAATATAATTAAAACATTAGAACGATACAAATCTAAAGGACCTCCGGTGCAAATAATCCAAATATTTTTGACAGATTGAGCGACGGATAGTAGTAAAAATGTCGTTAGCTGCCCCCGGCTATCGAGCTAAACAATGGCAGTGTTGTTCCCTTCAGCTTCTTTCGTCGATGTCCCCGTTACAGGTTTGTAGTCTTTTCTTTTCTTTTCACGCACACACTCTCAAATTTAATCTCAGTTTTGAACTAGGGTTTGATTACGGCATGGAAGAAATCGATTGAACTGACACACACACACTGACACTCGCACGACGCGATGGCAAAAAAAAAAAAAACGATTCACTGCCACATCAATGAACGCCTTTTCAAATCGTAGGGAAATGGAGAAGTTGCAGATTGATGAATTTGGCATCGAGTAAGTGTAGTAAAAGAGCTCGGTCTCTCACAATTTCAATGTGTAGTACATATTGTTCGATGTCAATGTCGAAGAAGCTGGTGTGGATATGGACTGAGAACAAGGAGGTAATGACGGCCGCCGTGGAGAGAGGTTGGAATACTTTCATCTTCTCGTCCCATCGTCGCGACTTTGCCAACGACTGGTTATGTAAGCTTTTGGATTTTTTTTTTTTAAGTTTTTTGTTGTGTGATTTTGTTTGTATTCTATACCTTGTTTTTGCTAGGTGAAATTGAGCCTTGTCATGTGCTTCGTTCATTTACCATTAGATATTGCGAAACTATACTTAATTAAGCCGATTGCAATGGTGTTTGAGAGGATTCCTCACTCTGATGTTAACATGGGCAGCAATTGCATTGATTAATCCTCTTTTTATCGAAGAGGGAGATCTATTTGATGTTGAGCACAGAAGAGTTGCCGCATTTTACGAGATTTCTTCTCCGCAGCAATTAGAGCAGCTCCAACCCCTGGCTGAGCAGGCAGAGAATATCATCATTAATCTATTAGACTGGCAGGTATGCCCATCAATTTAGAAGTTTCTCAATATCCAATTTACTCGTCTTCATTTTCTATAATTTTTTTGTACGGTTCTCAAGTCACATAGACCAACTGTAAATCATGGATGTGTGGACTTTGAGGTAATGGATGAACTCCAGGAAGGTCAAGACTCAAAGAGCTGTTGGTTGAAATTTCAACGTATGAGAGAGAGAGAGAGAGACTATTATTCTGCTCTTTCAAAGCATTGGGTCACAAGCAATGCCTTGATCCATGCTGCTATGCGCTCATCTCCATGTGGTTGGATTCAAATAAATGCAGTAATCAAAGTTTTGTAACACTTATGGTTATTGCTGGTAGATGTTACTTTGTTAAACGGCTATGTTTAATTAGGAGCCTTTTCCTATGATGATGAATCATTAAAAGGTTTAGGTGATTTTATCATGTGTGACCAACTCCTGTTGCATTCTCCAGCTTTTTTGTCTCCTCTGACTTCTAATCGGGGGGATGTTCTAAGCGGTAATAATGGGGTAGCCACTTTTGACAAGTATTTTGCTAGATCCCGTTTCTTTTAGCTTGCTTGATGAGGCTGTGGCTACTCTATGCTTGTCAATGTTCCATAACATATCTGACAGTGATCAAACTACTTTAAATTTTTCACAAACAACATAATCGATTTTCTACTCTATGTTGCCAGCACCACCATCATCAAGACACCAACTGCTCTTCTTTGCTTATATTAATTAAATGTTCTCTTTTTTTATTGGAAATTTTCTGTATGATTCATTGGAACTATACCGATGACCGATTTTTCACTTCAGCATTTTATAGGGGCCTCCTTCCCAGTTCATTCCTGTATATATTTTTCTTAGGTGATACCTGCAGAGAATATTGTTGCAGCATTTCAAGGCACTCAAAAAACAGTGTTTGCTGTCTCAAAAACTCCCTCTGAAGCTCAAATTTTCGTGGAGGTAATTTCTTAATACTAAGCGAGTGAGCACCGAATCATGTTTGAAGCACCTCTCAGGTCCTGCATTTACATTTACTTTGTTCTTGTAATACTCCTGTTGACTTGCATATGTCTGCTTTTGTAGGCCTTGGAGCTGGGTCTGGGTGGAGTAGTTCTGAGAGTTGAGGATGTCAAAGCTGTCCTTGAGCTGAAGGTAATACCTTGTATAATAGGGCATTTCCTTGTTGAAGCATTGCTTCTTACAATGGTTGATAATATCAGGACTATTTTGACAAAAGACATGAAGTAGGCAGTAAATTGGATTTGAGTGAAGCCAGCGTAACTCATATTCAAGTGGCTGGAATGGGTGACCGAGTCTGCGTGGATCTCTGCAGCCTTATGAGGCCTGGTGAAGGTCTTCTGGTTTGCTCGCAGTGTCCTGTCTATATGTTGTTCTTTTGATTTCTTAATGCCTATCATCCATCATGCATGAGGTTTTCATCCCAACACAAAAGCATCTTCTACAGGTGGGATCCTTCGCTAGAGGGCTTTTCCTTGTTCACTCAGAATGCTTGGAGTCAAATTACATTTCCAGCAGGCCTTTTCGAGTCAATGCGGTGAGTTTTGGATTGGAGTTCTTAGACAGTTCCAGGAAAAAGAAGTTGAGATTGAGAAGGAGATGATATTGTGGCGACTCTTGTCTCCTATAAAACCAGTTAAGGACTCAGGACTGTACTATTGGGTTTGGTGACACTTTGGTAAATCAGTTGTGGCAATTAAAAAGTACATGCATTTTCTAAGGTTTTGGGTACATGTTGAACACCGACACTTCCCCTACATTCCCGAAGATGTGATGGAGTCTAAAAATAAGAAGGCAATTCTAGATATGAGTTCAACATGTCTTGGACACTCCAACCTGGGAACTAAATAACGTGGAAGCTAGGGTAGTATTTTCTCAGAAGAAAAATGTAGTTATCATGAGCAGTTATATTAAAGGTCTATCTAAAATTTGTGATTTAAAGCATAAGTTAGACATGCGAGGGTTTTAAGTGAGGGGACACGGGAAGGTGGGAAGAATCATTCTAATAATGTTTGTTTCCCATGTTTTATCTGTATGACATCTGTAATTATTGAATAGTATGATTCATAAGTTAAAGGGTTACATTTGTGTTGACATGGCATATTTTCATGTTTCTGGACATGGCATATTGACTAGGTAATCCTCGACAACGTAGAGCTCTCTGGGATGGCCATGTGCTCACATGACATGTGGTGTCCCAGCCCAACACTTCATCCCAGCTCGACACTTCAGTAAGGGCAACCTTATCCTTATGCACCCTTATGCCCTCGGTCCTATGAGCTGAGTGGGTCCACATCAAACGTACAATATTGTTTGAAAGACATTAAAACCTTAATCTTACAACTTCCATTATATAAATATTTTACTTTTTCTTCCCGAGGATGATAAGAATGCACCACTTATTTTGCCCCTCCATTTGGGAATCCTGAAATTGTGTATATTCCATGGAAAAGATATATATCATTGCTGTTTGAATATTTACAGGGGCCAGTACATGCCTATGTTGCTGTTCCAGGAGGAAAGACTTGCTACCTTTCAGAATTAAAAGCTGGTAAAGAGGTAATTGTGGTTGATCAAAGTGGTATGCAACGGACTGCAATTGTTGGACGTGTAAAGATAGAGACTAGACCCTTGATACTGGTCGAGGTTAAGGTTTGTGTTTGCTTGTTTTCTTTTGCGAAAGATTATCAAAAATCTTCTTGAATTTTTGACCAATAATTGTTTCTGTGAGATAGCATAGTTCACATGCTGTAATCTGTCGCTATAAGACTGACTTTGGTTGGCTTAGTCAACTTTTATGGATGGAGACAATGACCGCTTTCAATCTTGAGACACGTTCAACTCAGTAGACATAATGCAAGTGAAGCCAGACAATAGAAATTTAACTCCTCAAGATAATGTTTATCTTCTTATGGAGGACATGATGTGATGAACTTTTGTTATTAATTTCAAAGCAGGACCTCCTACAACGTGAAATTACTTGACTCACTATAGATTTAAGCAAGTTGGTTTTGAGCAGTGTGCTCAAGGTTCAAGCTAAAGCAGCAGGTGCAACATATTGATATTGGGATGATTGTTATTCTTCCCACTTGACATGTGAAATTTAAGTTTGTACATGCTGCATTTGCTGAAAGAATGGAAAAGGAAATAAATTTGGAGTTATACGTTTCCTAACTCTTGTTTTAACTTGGACAGGGTAAAAAAGGCCATATGAAAAACTTCATCAGTTAAGCACCTAAAGGATGAAGTTGAATCGTTTAAATTTCATTTGGATATTCTTTATTTCTGCTTTGTTTCTTAGGCATGTATGTGAGCCATCTTTAATTCTTTAACAATTTAGGAACTATTTATTTCTATTACATATTTGATTGCTGATTCTTTTCCTTGGATAAATCTGTTTGACTGAAAGTTGCTGATGTATATTAGCGGCATAAGTTTTTATTATATGCAATTGTGATATTGCAGATAGATTCAGATAATCAAACTCTTTACGGCATTCTTCTACAGAATGCTGAAACAGTAGCGTTAGTCTCTCCCCGCCATGGTATGCTCTAGCTTTGGGAATTATCTTCCCTAACTTGCTAGATTTAAACCATGAAATCTATCTCTGCAGGTAATGGGCATCAAACGACAGCAATTACCGTGACCTCACTCAAAGTTGGTGACAAGGTTTTGCTAAGAGTGCAGGGAGGTGCTCGGCACACAGGAATAGAAATTCAAGAATTCATCGTTGAGAAATGAATGAGCAAGGTTAGAAACTGTAGTTTTGTAGAACTGAGAAATTGTTTATCAGATGTTTGATGCTGTTTCTCTTGTATATGATACTGAAATCTCTTCTGATCTGCCTGGGACAATTCTGTTGTGATACAAATGGTTTGTGGACAACTGTACATATTTCGAATTTCCAGAATTGTCAAAAGGGAACCCCAGGCTTGGACCAATTACTTGAGTCGGCATAAGTGGTGAGGACTCGGAAGTCCAATTGGAGCACTTGGTGAGTGATGTTTTTGTGTGTGACGTCTAGTGTGGTGAATCTAGTGCAAGTGGACTAGTGTTCAAGTTCAGTGTGCTTCTCTAGTTCCACTTGAGTGATGCTTCCAACACCTGTGTGTTGATTGTTTATAGCAACAACACATAAATTTAGGGTTGTTAGGGAGATGCATCTCGCCTCTCAAGCTTGTGAGGCATGTTTGGATGGATTTTGGGCGAGGGATTTTTCAAACCCAACCCCCACCTTTTGNTAACAATTTAGGAACTATTTATTTCTATTACATATTTGATTGCTGATTCTTTTCCTTGGATAAATCTGTTTGACTGAAAGTTGCTGATGTATATTAGCGGCATAAGTTTTTATTATATGCAATTGTGATATTGCAGATAGATTCAGATAATCAAACTCTTTACGGCATTCTTCTACAGAATGCTGAAACAGTAGCGTTAGTCTCTCCCCGCCATGGTATGCTCTAGCTTTGGGAATTATCTTCCCTAACTTGCTAGATTTAAACCATGAAATCTATCTCTGCAGGTAATGGGCATCAAACGACAGCAATTACCGTGACCTCACTCAAAGTTGGTGACAAGGTTTTGCTAAGAGTGCAGGGAGGTGCTCGGCACACAGGAATAGAAATTCAAGAATTCATCGTTGAGAAATGAATGAGCAAGGTTAGAAACTGTAGTTTTGTAGAACTGAGAAATTGTTTATCAGATGTTTGATGCTGTTTCTCTTGTATATGATACTGAAATCTCTTCTGATCTGCCTGGGACAATTCTGTTGTGATACAAATGGTTTGTGGACAACTGTACATATTTCGAATTTCCAGAATTGTCAAAAGGGAACCCCAGGCTTGGACCAATTACTTGAGTCGGCATAAGTGGTGAGGACTCGGAAGTCCAATTGGAGCACTTGGTGAGTGATGTTTTTGTGTGTGACGTCTAGTGTGGTGAATCTAGTGCAAGTGGACTAGTGTTCAAGTTCAGTGTGCTTCTCTAGTTCCACTTGAGTGATGCTTCCAACACCTGTGTGTTGATTGTTTATAGCAACAACACATAAATTTAGGGTTGTTAGGGAGATGCATCTCGCCTCTCAAGCTTGTGAGGCATGTTTGGATGGATTTTGGGCGAGGGATTTTTCAAACCCAACCCCCACCTTTTGAGTATATGGGATTCAAAGATGAATCTTGTCCATACCTGTGTTTAATAAGTAACATATATATATATATATATATATATATATATATATATATATATATATATATATATATATATATATATTTGTGGGACCCACATTGGTCATGCAAATGACTATTTTCCCCATTGGTCAATTCAGCCATGGAAAAAAATGGGTTTAAGGGGTAGAAATGTATTCTTCCAATCCAAGCTAGTTTGGCCCCTTCGAAACCCACCTCCCTTGGTTTTGCTGAAACCCAAGTTCATGAGTTTAAGTAGCGGCGCCGGACTAGAGTCCAGACTTCATTTTTTCCATCCAAACAAGGGTATAGCTAGTGGATTGAACTATTTTTTGTTAACCCCTCCTTATATATCCACCCAAACCCTCTAAACAAACAGGCCACACATGCTCAAGCCCGCTATAGCTCGGGTGCCACCATTGCCTTACCACTGTAGCTGTCGCCCTACCCCAACCATCATCAGTTCCACCAGCACACTAGTGCCCCCCTCACCACCACACCGCCATAACTTTGGTCACCCCACTGCCGTTATCACCCTCGTCCACCATCATCTCCACCACTCCCACTTTGGGTGGGGGTGGCAACAATGGTGAGGTGGCGGAGAGTTGAAGTATTAGAAGTACAGTAGTACGTGGAGTAACGTCCGATATAGTAATAAAAGTAAGACGTGTAAGTGGATTGACTCAACAAGTTCCAGTAAAAATAGAATCCATATCAAGGGAGGAAACTTTGCGCGGAGTTGGGTAGGTTGATTGGTGAGTAACAAAATTATATATAAATGTTTTTGGGTTCTAGGTATGATATGATTGTTGTAAGGAAAGAAGTGAAATGGTTGAAAAATGGATGTCCATACACTTGGAATTATCCGCAGCAATACCTAATCCTTCGCGTGCGGGCCCTGATGAAATAAAAGAAGGTAAGAACTAAGGTGGTGGCGGCCACCGTTTTGCATCAACGTGTAAAACCTGGGGAAGGAGGAGGGGACATGGGGAGTGCTATGGCTTTTCAGGTATGAAGACATTGAAAAGGAGCAAAGTGAGAAAAGGGGAATTCAATGGTCCAATAGTAAATATGATTGTGATAGGTGGTTCCTCAAGAACCTTCCGAGATATTATTATTCAAGTCTATGGCCCGTGGGAGGGAGGGGGTGAAAGACTTATAAGTCCGCTCATTTATGAAAAACACACGATATTTTAAGAGTAATGTTATTAAAACTTAAAAAATTTATTTACTTAATAATGTGACAATATTATAGTCTAATAAGTTGGTATTGACTTTGATTTACCTTTTTGGCCATATTTTTGTTTCTATTTTACATTCTTAACCCTGAAGCTCACGCTAGGACTCTAGAACAAGAGATGATGATGATGATGGTGTCACTTTTCTCCATATATTTGCAGTAATTTACAGTTTAGCCCCCCTATCTTGATCAGCAATGTCACTACTACATTCACCATCTTTGTGCATCACCTCATTGTGGATTCCAATATTTGCAAACAACTAATGTTAATTGTTGTAATGGAATTGACAATTTAATTCCATATTTGGGTAAATAAATCTTTTAATGAAGAAGTGATACAACATTTCATTTCATCTCATCTCATCTGGAACATAGAAAGAAATTACCAATGCTAAAAATTACACCCATTATCTCTCAAATATTGTACTTTCAACTTTATATGTTTATTAGTTTTATATTGCTTTAATTACAAATGTTCAATATAAAAAGTTGTGTATTTCGTTCCTCGAATTATTTGATTTTATTCCACAATCCAATGGCACGCGGATATTTAATATCTAAAGACATGACGGATGTTTGGTTTTGGAGTGATTTGAAACTAATTCAATTAGATGATGAAACAGTATAAATAACTCCATAATAAAAGAGAGAAGTAACATCCGGATTATTATAGTTCAATGATGCAAGGTGTAAATCACGGTTATGAAAAGTCTTATGTTAAGTTCAATGATGCAAGGTGTAAATCACGGTTATGAAAAGTCTTATGTTAAGTTCAGTAGTCCAAAAACAATTATATATATGATTGTAACTGACAGCTTAACCTCATGACTCTTCCTATCATCTTATTCAAGTCTACTACCCGTGAGAGGGGTGAAAGACTAACAATTCTATCCATCTTTATGCAAAGTCTCTTCCCCCAAACCTACGTTACTCAAAGTGTTGGCATTGATTTTCTCTCCTGCTTGCATTAATTTACAATTTTGCCCCCAATTTTGTTTTTATTTCCCATTCATAATCTAGAAGATGGTGTCTTGACTCTGGAATTGAAGTAGATGATGGTGGTGTTGGAAAACGTTGGTGTCACTTTTTTTTTTCTCTTGGTTGCATTATTTTAAACCTTCTTATTATGATTAGGTCGTATTTAATGATTGAGATTATACCACATGAGGTGATAAAAATAAGATAATGTAGAAAGGTGGTGTAAAGAGTATAATGATTTGTTTCATCGATTTATTAGTATTTTAAGGTGGCATATCAGGTAATAAACATAAGATAATGCGGAAAGCTTAATGACATAGCAAGCAATTATGTAGCTGGGTTTAGGGTGAATGGGTAATTATTCACTCAACCTGAACTAAAAAGTGTTCAATTTATCTACTGGGACATAATGGCATTCTCTACCAAGAGCTCATGAAACAAAAGACATGAAACTTAGATGAAAATTACTTTCAATCTTAAAAGATGAATACCGTAAGTGCTTTCATTAAAAAAAAAATAGTGTTTAAGATGACTAGTTAGAAGTAAGGTTATTTCATTGTTAAACCGTCCACTAAGGTTATTTCATTGTTAAAATGGTGATTTCAACACACGCACAAAAAAAAAAAAAAGGAACATTATGGCCAAATTTCCTTGTGTAAAACAACTAAGCGCCTCACAAGATTGGTTACTTCAACGGCTTCTTCTCCAATCTAGCACCAGTAAACAGAGCAGAGCAGAGCATAGCATAGCAATCCCACTCACTTTTTTGCAAAAAGGTAAGAGCCACTTTGGCATGTTTAGCATTACAATCAACCCATCTGTTTGGAAGAAAACAAACGAGCCGAGAAAAAGAAATGAGAAAGAATGAAAATGAAGTTAACGTCTGCCTAAATCTGGTAAGAGCTAGTTCATTGAAATAGCAAAATAAAGAAGTATTTGTTGGTTGTTTTTTTATTTGAATTTTGCCCTACCTAATGTTGAATCCGTGCTCTGCCCCTAAGGTATACAGTGAACTTCTCTTTGATTTTTTTGTATGTATGTCAAGCATTTTTTTTTATAAGTTAAATATGAAAAAATATTCAATGTAACGGCCACGTGACGTCATCATTTAGTAACTAACATATTTATGTAAGAAAAAAATATATTTATTATTAAGCGGTGACACTATGTCCATGGTGACATAGTGCCACCCTTAAAGTGAATATTAACTCGGCAAAAAATTAGGATACATTGTTATGAAATTTTGATATACTTTCCTAAATCAAAACAAAAGGAATTCAATGGTCCAAAAGTAAGTATGATTATGACAACTTCCTCCAGGAGCCTTCCTGTGATACCCCGTGGGAGGCGTGAAAGACTAACAAGTCTAGTCTGCCCATTTATACAAATTCTCCACCTTTAAACACACGTTTTTCCTTTTCAGCAAAAAACACACACACACACACACGTTATTCTACTACCCAATTACCAAGTTGGAGTCTTTGTCCTAAAAAAAATGAAAAATACCAAGTTGGTGTGGATTTTCTCTACTTTTCTCCTTATATTTGCAGTAAAATTTACAATTTTGCTCCTATTTTTATCAGCGTTTACTATCTTTGTGTACCACCTCATTATGGACCATTGGATTTAAGAATTACATTAACTCTGGTAATTTTTTTATAATTGTGATCTTACCACGTCACATTGTAATAAACATGGTAGTATGAGTAGTATAATAGTTTGTTTTTTGGTATCTACGGTGATACTCTTTATCTTTTTATTTTTTTTATTGTTATTTTTTTTTGTGGATACACTTTTAACATTTTTCATTTTTTATTTCCTCAGCAAAGAGCTTGACTAAAAGAGAAAAAGACCCGAACTGTGAAGTAAGTGATTGTTCATCTTCAACATGGCATTTGATACCACAATTTATCCATTACACAGAAGTTTTGCATGTCCTTGCAGTTACAAAAGAATTCATAACCTACTCCATCATCTTGAATCCCCATCAGTAATCACAGATTCTCTCTCTCTCTCTCTCTCTGGCCTCACTGCCTATCCTGGAGCTACATTTTCTTTGGCATACAATGCCTTGGAGGGTGAGGTCAAATCACTGTTGTTTTGATCAACTTCATTTCCTAGCAATGGGCACTACTTAATTGTCAGCAACCAAGACTTGTGTGGTTTAACCTCCACCACATTTGAATCACAGCCGTCAACTTCATCTTTGAGTAGACCCACCTACATTTTTGGGTCCTTCAAATTCTACCTTGGCTCCCTGTAGATGGGTCAGCACTGAAGACCAATACACTTTCCAAAGCCTTTTTTTTTTTTTTTGTTTTAGTTCTCATCAGAGCATGCGATACATTATATATAGACCTGTGTATATGCATTAGAGCAACATAATCTATCCTACCTATCCCTCATAAAAAATGAAGCCATTCGTTAATTGTGCAGTTGCGGTATTAGCATGGGTGGTGATGATGGTGGCAACCACTATGGTAATGGCCACTTCTACTTCTATATCATCATCATCATTATCATCATACCCGTTGTCATCATGGATGACAGAGGCAGAAGCTCTGCACAATAGCGGTTGGTGGCGGAACACTAATGTAAAAAATCACTGCCAGTGGCAAGGTATCGTTTGCAACGAAGCAGGAAACGTCATTGCGATAAATGTTACCCCTAACAGCCTCACTATAGGAGCTCCGGTCGAGAAATTGAACGTGTCTGCCTTTCCACACCTTGAGCATCTCGATCTCAGCAACTGCCGTCTCCGTGGAAGCATACCCAACCAAATTGGTAGGCTTACAAAACTCACTCATCTTGATCTCAGCAACTGCCGTCTCCGTGGAAGCATACCCAACCAAATTGGTAGGCTTACAAAACTCACTCATCTTGATCTCAGTGGCAATAGATTCAAAGGTGGACTGCCACTTTTCTTGGCTAACCTCACCCAACTAGTCCACCTTGATTTGTCAAGAAATTCCATCAATGGCTCAATCCCCCCTGAGGTGGACAATCTGAAAAAATTGGTTTATCTTGAATTTAGTTCGAATGCACTTGCTGGATTCATCCCCATAGAGTTAGGGAACCTGACTAATTTGGTTCAGCTACATCTCAGAAATAATAATTTCATAGGTCCAATTCCCTCATCTCTAGGTCTCTTGACCAATCTGATCTATTTGACCATTTGGAACAATGGACTCGCTGGGTTGATCCCCTCAGCTTTAGGGGGCCTGAGTAACTTGGTTGAACTAGATCTTGGGGCAAATTATCTCACTGGTCGAATTCCATCATTTATTGGTAATTTGACCAACCTCATTTATTTGTATCTTGATTCAAATCAAATTAGCGGTTCCCTACCTCCAGAGATGGGAAGCCTGGTGCAATTATCTGGTTTAGTTTTAAGTAATAACAGTCTCGTTGGCCAAATTCCTTCATTTGTAGGTAATTTGACCAGGATCAACTCTATGTCCTTAGATTTAAATCATATCAATGGTTCCATCCCTCCAGAGATGGGAAACCTGGTAAATTTATATGATTTGGCGTTGAGTGGTAACAACCTCACCGGCCCAATCTCATCATTTTTAAATAATTTGACCGGCCTCAATTATTTGTTCCTTGATTCAAATTATATCAATGGTTTCATACCACCAGGCATTGGTAAATTGATAAATATGCAAGATTTAGACCTATCTGTCAATCTACTCCACCATGTGATCCCTCCAGAAATGGGAAAACTCACGAGTTTGAGGGCTCTCGACCTCCATGATAACAATCTTTCTGGTCCAATCCCTCCATCAATTGGGCATTGGAAAACCCTAACAACTCTTGACCTATCTGCCAATCTACTTCACCATGTGATCCCTCCAGAAATAGGGAAACTCACGAGTTTGAGTGTTCTCGACCTCCATGATAACAATCTTTCTGGTCCAATCCCATCATCTATAAAAAATTTGTCGAGATTGTATCTTCTTGACCTCTCTGCCAATCGAATCAATGGTTCAATACCACCTGAACTTGGCAACCTATCTACCCTTTCTTATTTGGACCTTTCTCAAAATTTTTTGAGCGGTCCTATCCCAAAAGAACTACGCGGATGTGGGATGTTGCAATACTTGGGAATGAGCAAAAATAATTTGAGTGGAAGCATACCTGTTGGAGTTGCATCCATCATGGTAGGGTTAGACTTCTTGAGCCTCTCCCACAATAATTTCTCTGGCACGTTCCCATATTGTACTTGCGGGTTATGCCGACTTAATTTGTCAGACACCTATCTGGAGTGTTCCTCGCCATATAACAAGACAAACCAACAAGAACCGTACAAGAAGTTGAAACAGAACTCACACCTTCTTGTCATTTTCCTTCCTATTACCATTTTCCTCGTCTTCTTAATTCTCGGATTCAGTTACTTTTCTTGGCATAAGACTAAAAAAAACCCAAGTGAGGCAAGAGCAATGAGGAATGGTGATATGTGCTCAATATGGAATTACGATGGACACATTGCATATGAAGACATAATCAGAGCAACAGACGACTTTGACATCAGGCATTGCATTGGAACTGGCGGGTATGGTAGCGTTTACAAAGCACAGCTATCCAACGGCCAAGTGTTTGCTTTGAAAAAACTTCATCGTTTGGAAGCCGAGGAGCCAGCATTTGACAAGAGTTTCAGGAATGAGGTGCAAATGTTGACAAATCTAAGACACAGAAATATTGTGAAGCTTTACGGATTCTGTTTACACAATCGCTGCATGTTTTTGGTCTACGAGTACATGGAAAAGGGAAGCTTATTTTGTGCACTAAGATATGACGAGGTGGCTATAGAATTGAGTTGGACTACGAGAGTGAACATCGTTAAGAGCACTGCACATGCTCTGTCTTATATGCATCATGATTGTGCCTCACCAATCGTTCACCGAGACATATCAAGCAACAACATTTTGTTGAATTCAAAACTTGAGGCTTTTATAGCAGACTTTGGCACAGCCAGACTGCTATTTCCTGATTCTTCGAATCAAACTCTCATTGTCGGGACTTATGGATATGTTGCTCCAGGTAATTTGTTCTTCATTTTGCCATTCTAACGATGTCTATTAAAATAATTATGTTTGATGGTGCAAACTGACATGGGTGAAAAGAGTGCGTGGGATTCAAGGTGAATCTAGGATGCCCACCTTATAATGACAATGTTGAAGTGTTTCTTAGGGAGTAAGGGAATTTGCACGGTAAGAATATAATGATTTACCGGCTTTGGAGTTTAACTAGTCCACTCTCAAATGGAAACTCTTGCTCTTTTTTCTCTATTGATTACTCGTATATATTGCAGTACAACGCGTGAACTAATTAAGGTTTTTTCCCTATGGTCCTCATTTTCGATGAAGCATTACATAGTATTTATAAAGTTGTTCCCTGTTTTGTGGGATTTCAGTCTAGATTTTTGCCAATTATTCATAAGATCCTCCTTGATTTTAGGAGGGAATCTCGGTTGGTTGAGAGTTTCTTGCATTGGGCTCAATTTTCGCCACCATCCAACTGTTCCCTGGTTGGTTTTGTTATAATCTCCTCTAGGGGAGCTCTTTCCTTGGTTCTCTGTATTTTTCTTGACCTCCTGACCTGAGCTCATAGTTAGGGCTTGTTCGGGATATCATCAATGTCTATCTTAATAAGTTTTTGGGATAATCCGTTTAATAGAATGTTCATAATTAAACTTCATTAATCGATTGCTCAAAGATCTCCAATTCTCGTGCAGAGCTTGCATACACCATGGCTGTGACTGAGAAATGTGACATCTATAGCTTTGGGGTTGTGGCATTGGAAACAATTATGGGAAGGCATCCAGGAGAACTTCTATCATTACTATCGTCATCATCATTATCCGGTGAAAACGTAATGCTAAATGAGGTGTTAGACCCCCGCCTCTCACCACCGGCTGACCCACTGGTTGCACGGGATGTTGTTCTTGTTGCTACACTAGCGTTTGCATGCCTTTCTCTTGAACCAAAGACCCGTCCGACAATGCAACGAGTGTCTCAAGGATTTCTTGCTAGAAGGGCGACACTAGCCAAACCTCTTCACTCCATTTCCCTACGGGAGCTGAGGAACCCAGAGGGAGTTTTTCCACGTGCTTAAGTACTAGTCAATCCAATGTGTATAATAGTACTGATGCTTCTGTTGTCATATGGTGTCTTCCAACATAGTATAATAAATTGTCGGAATTTGTACATTTACAGTGAATATTGTTAAAACAGAAAATGTCAGAACAAGCTTAATGGCATGACCTACAAACAAGCACATAGCTGGGTTTTGGCTATATAATAATCGCTCAGCAAATTTTTTTAATTACCCTGTACTGAAACATATACAATTAACCAGTTAGGCATAATGGAAGTCTCTACCCAGAGCTCAAGAAACACAAGATACTAAAAGCGGATGAAAAATACATCAATCTTAGCAGATTAATAAAGCACTCATATTGCTTACAAGATCGGTTAAGGGTATTTCAATTTTTAAAATGGAAGTTTAATAAAAAAAAAAAAAAAAAAGAGGAAACATTAGCAGCCAAGTTTTCATGTCTAAAACAACCATATGACACACAGGAGAGGCTCTTTCCATGACTTCAGCCCCTATCTCACCTCTGCAACAGAACACACCACCAAAAACTTGAAGACCCACCCTGGCATGTTTTATATCTACAGAATCAACTCATTTTCTTGGAAGAGAACAAGCGAGTGAGGAAAAGAAATTAGGACGACTCAAAGTTCTGATTGTCTAACGTAAGGTTTAGGCGACCTGTGAAGATGGTTATGGTGATATGGAGAGTCCTTTGGACCATTTGGTATGGAGAGGCTCCGGGTTGGTTGTCCATTCTTTGGGAGCAATCCTGTGTGCATTCTACTGCTATTTTTAGCATTTGAATTACTACCAGAACGCTCAGCCTGCAGGGCCTGGAAGTAGGATGTGAAGCAGGCCACGTCCTTGAGGTCGGGTAAAGGCTTCAGGGTGTCAACAACTTTACTCATAAGAGGTCTGGCCTTTGGGTCACAGCTAAGACATTGGGCAGCCAACTGAGCTGCCTTCTGTGCACCTTTGATTGAAAAGCGACCTTCAAGGCGGGGATCTATTAGTCGATAAAACCTCCTTCTCTCTACCAGATATGGCCGTGCCCATTCCACCAGATTATGCTCCCTATTTGGTCGGCTTTTATCCATGAACCTTCGGTCGGTCAACAATTCAATTTTTGATTTTTGATCCAGAGTCCAGCTCCATATTCATTTTTCGATTAAATGAATGTCATGTAGCAAATATGCTTTGTTGATTTTGTTCGGTCAACAGGCGTCATTCATGGCCTTTTCATAAAAAATGTAGAATTTGGTTCAAACACCTTCCGATTGACCCGTGATAAAACACCAAAATAAGATTGATAAATTATATTATTTCAACATGATAATTATTAAATGGAGTGGTTAGCAATACTTATTAAAATAGTGGGACTTACAAAGTCTACATGGTAGTCTATGAGTGATTGGCAATGCCATGTGACGTTGATAATGTGATGTTATCGTTTAATTGAATATTTTCTTGCGTGCGTGTGAAGGGAACAAAAAGAAAAATAGATGAAAGGAAACAAATTAAAGAAAATATATAAGTATATTCTAAACACAATGGGTGGGCTATCTCCACCCCCACAAATATCGATATTTGCCAACAACTAATGTTAATTGTTGCAATGGACTTGAAAATTTATTACCATAGTTGGGTAAATAAATCTTTTAATGAAGTAATACAACATTTCATTTCATCTGGAACATAGAAAGAAATTACCAATGCTAAAAATTACACTTTGATGGCATCAACTCTCTCTGTCTTACATTATCTCTCAACTGATATGGTTTTCTTGTTACACCTCCAACTTTATATGTTTATTAGTTTTGTATTGCTTTAATTACAAATGTTCGTTTTAATTTGGCTAAAAAGTAGTGACAATTTTGTTCCTCGAATTATTTGATTTTATTTCATTTTATTCCACAATCCAATGGCACGTGGATATTTTATATCCAAAACTATAACGGATGTTTGGTTTTGGAGTGATTTGAAACTAATTCAATTAGATGATGAAACAATATAAAAAACTCCATAATAAAAGAGAAAAGTAAAATCGAGAATATGCAAAGTGTAAATCGCGGCTTTGAAAAGTCTATATATGATCGTAACTGACAGCTTAACCTCATGAGTCTTCCTATCGTCTTATTCTAAGTCTACTACCCGCGAGAGGGGTGAAAGACTAATAATTCTGCCAATGTTATGCAAAGTCTCGCACACCAAACCTACATTACTCAAAGTGTTGGCTTTGATTTTCTCTCTTGCTTGGATTAATTTGCAATTTTGCCCCTAATTTTGTTACTATTTCCCACTCGTAACCCAGAAGCTGGTGTCCTGACTTTGGAATTGAAGCAGATGATGTTGGCGTTGGAAATAGTTGTTGTCACTCTTTTTTTCCCCTGGTTGCATTAATTTAAACCTTCTTATTATGATTAGGGTAATGGGTCGCATTAAATTTATTAAATATTTAATGATTGAGATTGTATCACATCAGGTGATAAAAATAAGATAATGCAGGAAGGTGGTGTGAAGAGTATAATGATTTGTTTCCTCGATTTATTAGTATTTTAAGGTGGCACATCAGGTGATAAAAATAAGATAATCAAAAAACTTAATGACATAGCAAGTAATCATGTAGCTGAGTTTAGGGGGGTGGGTAATTATTTATTCAACTTGAATTAAAAAGTGCTCAATTTACTTGTCAGCATAATGATATTCTCAAGAGCTCATGAAACTTAGATGTAAATTACTTTCAATCTTAAAAGACGAATATCGTAAATACTTTCATAAAAAAAAAGTGTTTGAAATGACTAGTTAGAATTACTTGCTGAAAAATAAATTTTCCATTTAAACTTTTAATTTTTTTCGTATTTGTTGGTGATTTTTTTATTTGAATTTTGCCATATCTAGTGTTGAATACGTGCTCCGCCTCTAAGGTATACAATGAACTTCTCTTTGATTAATTTGTATTTATGTCAAACATTTTTTTTATAAGTTAAATATGAGAAAATATTTAATATAAAAGTCACATAATATTATCATTTAATAATAAACTAACATGAAAGAAATTGAACCAACATGATTTAATAACTAACATATTTATGTAAGAAAAAATATATTTATTATTAAGTGGTAATACTATATGATTATGGTGACATAATGTCATTCTCAAAGTGAATATTTACTCGTGAAAATAGGATACATGTGCAACAACAATGTTATGAAATTTTAATGCACTTTCCTAAATCAAAATAAAAGGAATTCAATGGTCCAAAAGTAAGTATGATTATGACAGCTTCCTCCGTAGCCTTCCTACGATACTATTCAAGTCTATGACACATGGGGAGGCGCAATAGACTAACAAGTCTAGTCTGCCCATTNTGAGTCTTCCTATCGTCTTATTCTAAGTCTACTACCCGCGAGAGGGGTGAAAGACTAATAATTCTGCCAATGTTATGCAAAGTCTCGCACACCAAACCTACATTACTCAAAGTGTTGGCTTTGATTTTCTCTCTTGCTTGGATTAATTTGCAATTTTGCCCCTAATTTTGTTACTATTTCCCACTCGTAACCCAGAAGCTGGTGTCCTGACTTTGGAATTGAAGCAGATGATGTTGGCGTTGGAAATAGTTGTTGTCACTCTTTTTTTCCCCTGGTTGCATTAATTTAAACCTTCTTATTATGATTAGGGTAATGGGTCGCATTAAATTTATTAAATATTTAATGATTGAGATTGTATCACATCAGGTGATAAAAATAAGATAATGCAGGAAGGTGGTGTGAAGAGTATAATGATTTGTTTCCTCGATTTATTAGTATTTTAAGGTGGCACATCAGGTGATAAAAATAAGATAATCAAAAAACTTAATGACATAGCAAGTAATCATGTAGCTGAGTTTAGGGGGGTGGGTAATTATTTATTCAACTTGAATTAAAAAGTGCTCAATTTACTTGTCAGCATAATGATATTCTCAAGAGCTCATGAAACTTAGATGTAAATTACTTTCAATCTTAAAAGACGAATATCGTAAATACTTTCATAAAAAAAAAGTGTTTGAAATGACTAGTTAGAATTACTTGCTGAAAAATAAATTTTCCATTTAAACTTTTAATTTTTTTCGTATTTGTTGGTGATTTTTTTATTTGAATTTTGCCATATCTAGTGTTGAATACGTGCTCCGCCTCTAAGGTATACAATGAACTTCTCTTTGATTAATTTGTATTTATGTCAAACATTTTTTTTATAAGTTAAATATGAGAAAATATTTAATATAAAAGTCACATAATATTATCATTTAATAATAAACTAACATGAAAGAAATTGAACCAACATGATTTAATAACTAACATATTTATGTAAGAAAAAATATATTTATTATTAAGTGGTAATACTATATGATTATGGTGACATAATGTCATTCTCAAAGTGAATATTTACTCGTGAAAATAGGATACATGTGCAACAACAATGTTATGAAATTTTAATGCACTTTCCTAAATCAAAATAAAAGGAATTCAATGGTCCAAAAGTAAGTATGATTATGACAGCTTCCTCCGTAGCCTTCCTACGATACTATTCAAGTCTATGACACATGGGGAGGCGCAATAGACTAACAAGTCTAGTCTGCCCATTTATACAAACTTCCCACCTTTAAACACATGTTATTCCTTTTCAAGAAAAAAAAAACACACGTTATTCTACTACCCAATTACCAAGTTGGAGTCTGTCCAAAAAAAAATGAATAATACCAAGTTGGCGTCGATTTTCTCTACTTTTCTCCTTGTATTTGCAGTAAAATTTACAATTCAGCCCCTATGTTGATCAGCATTGCTATTACACTTATTATCTTTGTGCACCATCCCATCGTGAACTATTAGATTAGTGAATCACATTAAATTTAATAATTTTTTTATGATTATGATCGTATTACATCACATGGTAATAAGTATGGTAATATGAGTAGTATTATAGTTTGCTTTATAAATTTACTAGTTATTGCATACATTTAAAGATACAAAATAATAAAAAAAATAGTAAATAATAAATAGATTTGTGTTCACACCTAAAATCAAATCACAAACATATAAGTAAGAAAAATGATTTAAGCACTAATTGTAATAGAAGTGAGGGTGGTAATGGTGGTGGGGTGGCGACAATGACAATGATGGTTATGGTGGTGGGATAGAAGGGGTAGTGGTGGTTGGGGTTATGATAGGACAGTGACGGAGGTGATAGGGTAGAGATGAGTCAGGTGACGATGGTGATGGTGGGGGGTAGTGGGGATAATGGTTGTTGTGCAGAGGTGGTGATGGAGTGACGGTGGCGGTGGTGGTGGTGGTAGTGTTGATGGTGGTGGTGGTGGTGGTTGTTGTGGCAGAGGGGTAGCAGCGGCGGAATCCACCATTTTGTAATCAAGGAATCTGCTAACAACGAATTTTCTTCATTTCGGCATTTTTCGCCTTGTACTTTTTATCCAAAGATTCTTACAGCTCTCTAGCCGTTTTGATTGGACTATACACATTATATAATGATTATCCAATCCATTGAGGATATAGTTTTTACATAAAAAACCAGAGTGCTTCCATGCATCCACCGCAGCAATAACTTGGCGGTCAGTCTCATTCTCACTATAAACAAGAGCATCCTCACGAAAAAATTTTGCAAAATTCAACGTAGTGAGATAGAAAAATGAGTGGGTATAAAAATAGGCATCACATGCACAACATAATTTGTAGTAGCAGGGAACATTATTATTATTTGTAGCCATTTCTGATAAATAAAGATTACAAGATATTCAAAAATAGGAAAACAGTAACACTTTTAAAAACAAGTTATCAAAACAAAGTCAATCTATGTTACTGTTCAGTGTCACTATTTTGAAGTTATTGTTTTATCGTTTCTGTATGATGTCACTGTTTGGTGTTGCTGTTAAATCATACAAATAAATAAAGTCACTGTTTAGTACATCTATAACAGTTCGTTGTAACTGTTTAAATCATATGCATGAACAGTGTTACTGTTTGGTGTAACAGTAACACAACATGCAATTTTTCACAAAATTTTTCCAAGACTCTTCAAAATATTACAAATTGTAAAAAATAGTTGAACAATTTGCAATATTTTAGAACAATTTAAAAGATTAATACATGTATCAGAAACACAACAACCAATTATAAAAATCGAAAATCTATCTTAACATTGTTGTTTGTGATATTCTAAATATAGTAAAATCACTTATTGAAATTTTTGATTTGAAACATGTAATGAATAACAAAACAGTAATAATCAAGTGCAAAACAGTTACAAAAGAACTAACGAAACAATTACAATAGTCTTAATGAAACAGTTATAACAGTATTACTAAAACAATTACATGTAACTGTTTATTTAAACAATATAAATACTAATCTGGTTGCAAATACATGAACTTTTATTGAACTTTAAATAGATCAATGTTAGTTTTGATACTATGTTCTTAAGACAGATTTCACCCTCACACACAGTGCTAATGGAATATCAAGTGTCTGCCTCCCATGATATAATGATCTTCACACGAGTAGAAATAACACTCCAATTTACCCGTTCAGCGAACTAGAAATTATGTTGTGTACTCTCCAAATACAAACTTCCTTAATGATGTATGAGACTACCTTAAATGACTAAAAATGTGTTTGATGAACTGGATGCAA